TAAATTGCTTTCCTCTGCCACACCCTTCTGCCATAATGTTCTGCCTCACCTTGGTCCCAGAGCTATGGAGTCAGCTGACCATGAACTGAAACTCTCATCTGTGAGCCAGAATTAACTGTTCCTTCTCTAAGTTGTTTTTGTCAGGTCTTTTGGTCACAATGAGGCAAAGCTGATAAAACACCGCTTCACCTCTTGAAACTGGGAAAATTTCTGCTGAGTTCAGAACAAATTGTCCAGCAGAGGTGCCATATTTTCTAATTAAACAGATGGGCAACCCTGCTATTGATATGATGGAGAAGGTCTCTGAGACAATCACATATACTTTTCTGGATAGAAAATGTAAGATAAACTCAGTTATCTGTGTGTAGGGTTTTGTGACATCAGTTTGAGGACAAAGGACCTGGAGGAATTCCTCAAGGATAGGCCTGTGACAAACTTGTCCTCTGTATTGAGAGGGATGCAAGAGGCAAGACATGGCTGTGACTGGGGCAGGAGAACATGTCAGATGCAGCAGTATAATGGCCACTCATAGATCTCACACCACAACTCCCTGAAAATAACATCCCTTTGCTCTGTTTTTATCAGATACTTACTTTCTAGTAATATGTGTCAGGCAATAACTTTTGTGGCTGTATAAATATACATTTTATTGATGGATAGTTGAAGCTTGTGATTAAAAGTAATTTTTATCAGAAAAGACCAGGCAAATTTGCAGGAAAATTGATAGTCTGTAGAGTATCAAATTAAGTAAAATAAACCAGACTCAGAAAATCTGAGGAGGGTTGTATGTTGTCTCTCATGTGTGGAAGCTGGAGGAAAAAGAAAGGAAAAAAAAAAAAAAAGAATCATGAAATCAGATAGGAGACCATTGGGATAGAATAGAGCAGTGATTCAGACCAACAACAGACCTTCCTTCACAAATCTTCTATGCCAATTTGGGAAAACAGGCAATAAACAACTCAAAAATTTTAAAATAGGGAGGGAGAGAAATAATGGTTGAAGCAAAATGGGGAAACCTCTCCAAGGAGGTGATATTTGAGCAGCTAGATGTTGTGGAGGCTCTCACAATGTCCACATATCACATGTGGGGATGCCTAGGAGATATTCCTATTGGATATATAAGCCTGGACATCAAAATTACAGTAAAGTATCTCTGCTAGTCACAAAAACATTTCAGGGCTGGGGTTGTGGCTCAGCAGTTGAGCACTTACCTAGCATGTGTGAGGCCCTGGGTTTGATCCTCAGAACCACATAAAAATAAATAAATAAAATAAAGGTTTGTGTCCAACTACATCTAAAATAAATATTTTTTTAAAAAAATTCAGTGTTTTTCATGCTCTGGAAGTGCCTGGAGAATGTCTGAGTAGAGAAGAGTTGAGGGCTGGGCATATAGTTCAGTGGCAGGGTGCTTGCCTAGCATGTGTACGGCACTGGGTTCAACCCCTAGCACCATGAAAAGAAAACAAAGAAGAAAAAGAGATGAGAGTCCAGGACTGAGTCCAATATTATATTAGTAGATGAAGAGGTGTTAGGTAGAAGGAAAACCAGAAAAATTTAAAACCCAATGCTAAGACAAAGTATTTGTGTTAGGGGAGTGGTGGCAATTAACCTTGGAAAATGTTACTGAGCTCTATTAAGAAGAGAGCAGACAAATGCCTCTTTGGTTTGGGAACATGGAGATCGTTCATGACCTGGACAAGAGTGCTTTCAGTGGTGTTCTGGGATAGGAGCCACATTTTAGTGGGTTGAAGAAAAATGGTGGAGAACATAGCCTGTGAATATAGAGAGCCATCACATCCAGAGAAGGATTTTTTTGTTGTTGTAGATAATTGTTTCTTGGCTTTATTTGTATTTTAAAGATGGTAAATACCAGCACATGTTTATGTGATGGAAATGAGCCAGTAGTGAGGAAGAAATTTGTTTTGGAGCAGCATCAATTACCTGTACTTTTCTGTACATAAGCTACCCTGGTCTTTTTCTCAAGACAGTAGCTGACATAGATATGCATTTAAATAAGTCTTTGGGTTTTGGTTTGGTTTTGGTACCAGGGATTGAATCCAGGGCACTTAACCTCTGAGCCACATCACCAGCCCTTTTTATTTTTTGTTTTGAGACAAGATCTAATAAGTTGCTTAGGGCCTCACTGAGTTCTGAGGCTGGCTTTGAACTTGCCATCCTCTGGCCTCAACCACCAGGCCGCTGCAATTACAGGCATGTGCTACCGCACGTGGCTATGAGCCTTTTTCTTTTTATGTCATAATTATGTAAACCACTAAGTCAAAAAGAAACTGATATTTAGTAGCCCATTTTAGCCTGAGTGAACAGTGAGCTCTTTGAAACCCTAGCTGTCCAGATCCCAAATATAAGAATTATCTCAAAGCACATAGCATCATATCATCTTCACAAGCAGTTGTGGATGCAGCTACTATTATGGACATGTATAAGGAAATGGAAAATATAATACTAATGGAGTTGATCAATGTGTATAACCAGTGGAGGAAATATACATTTCAATTAAATTTTTAACTTAAGCAGAACTCTTATTTAATATTTCTCTATATATTTTTCTGTGGAAATAAAGATTTATTATTAACTTTATTTATTTATTTATTCTTTTATGTGATGTTGAGGATCAAACCCCAGGGCCTCATGCATGCTAGGCAAGTGCTCTACCACTGAAACACAAACTCCAGCCTGGAAATACAGACTTTTCTTAAAGTCTGTTTTTTTCCCCAGCAATCTATCTAAAAACCATTTTCCTTTTGGAGCCTAAAACACCAGTCATAGAGTTACAAGGCTAAAAGGATAGTTGGACTGTCACTTCTCTGTGTATGTGTGTGTGAACAGGTTTTTTTCCACTGAGCCCAAGGACTTCTCCAGGTTAAATTTCTGTCTGCAAACTTGCAGCAGCTGCTTTGATACCACAGGGACATTTCTGTGGATGTACAAACAGTTTTTCTGTTTTCCTCCGGTTTAACCCTCAGCTTCCTGTTACTATTCATATGAATATTGTTGTAAGCAATTTTTATTTCTGACCATTCCATTCAACAAATATCTCAAGTGCCTGGGTATTATAAAGGTTATTTTGGCCTAATGCTTTAGAAAATCTGGATATTCCATTTTCAGGAACTTGTACAGAAATGGGTCATTTGCATTGGGAGAGTAGAGCAATTCTCCTTTCCATATTAGAAATGTTCCAGTGCTCTAATTTTTTTCTTATAGTAGTCTCAGGCACATAGAGAAGCTTGTCAAATCAGCCAATTCACCACTACCCCTTTTCTTTTCTTTTTTTTTTTTTTTTATACTGGAGATTGAATTCAGGGGCACTTAACCACTAAACCACATTCCCAGCCCTTTTTTTTGTAATTTTTTAGAGTAAGGGTCTCGATGATTGCTTAGGGCCTTGCTAAGTTGCTGAGACTGGCTTTGAACTCGTGATCTTCCTGCCTCAGCCTCCTGAGCTGCTGGGATTACAGGCCTGCACAACCACCACACCTGGCCACTACCCTTTTCTTGACATGAAATTATATAAAGAAAAAGAAATATTTTCATATTTATACTCCATAGATGACAGCTGCAAAGAAGGCAGTGTGCAATCTTTGCAGTTACTCTTGAATCTTTCATAGCAGGTTACTTACTATCATTTACCATTTCTCTCACTTTTTATTATAAACTATTTGTACCAAAATAGAAAAGGATGAATAATATCTGTAGGGTAGAGCATTAAGTTTCTATTATCTTTCTCTCTCTCTCTCTCTTTCTCTCTTTCTCTCTCTCTTTTTTTCTTACCAGAATTGAACCCAGGGATGGATGCTTAACCACTACATCCCCAGCCCCTTTTTTTTTCTTTAATTTTTTTGTAGTTGTGGATGGACAGCGTTACTTTATTTTGTCTGTTTGTTTATTTTTTTTTTTAACGTGGTGCTAAGGATCAAACCCAATGCCTCACGAATGCTAGGCAAGTGATATGCCACTGAGCCACAGCCCTAGCCCCTACTTTTAAAATTTTTTCTAATTAGTTATATATGACAGTATAATGCATTTGGATACATCACACATAAATGGAGTATAATTTCTCATTCTTCTGGCTGTACATGATGTAGAGTTATACCGATCATATAATCATGTATGCACATAATGTCCAATTCATTCTACTGTCCTTCCTACCTCCATAATCCCTCTCCTCCTTTCACTCCCCTCTATCTAATCCAAAGTACCTCTATCCTTCTCTAGCTCCCCTTTTCATTTTTTATTTTTAGATTAAGTCTCACTAATTTGTTTAGTGCCTCACTAAGTTGCTGAGGCTGGGCTTTGAATTTGCCATCCTCCTGCCTCAGCCTCCCAAGGCTGCTGCAATTACAGACACACACCACGGTACCTGGCAGTGTCTGTCACCTTTCCCAGGCATACCACTTGGTGTGTTTCTCCTGTTCGGAATGTGGGGTATTTTCCCTCATTGCATCACCAGGATTCTCTTTCTCCTCAGAGGAGGAGGGAAAGCTGCTTAATGATAATCAAGTACTTTTTAACTTGCCTCTGGACCTATTGTTCATCACTTAAAAAAGAAAGATCAGTAATGAGATTATACTTCTGGAATTTTTTAATGGAGTATCTTTACATTTGAATAGCATTATTTATACACAATCTCTACCTCATAACATAAATGAGGGAGTTACATTGGGTTTTCCATAAAAATGAGGGAAAATTCCTGCTGTCTCTTGACTAGATGTTTACTTTTTAGTAATTTAGGAAGAGGTAAACCATTTCTGTGAACAGTACTAAATATAAACCCAAGAATATACTTAATGCTCATTCTTGTAGAGCTTATAACCAGCTTTTTCTGACCTTTTAAGCAGAACTGATTCTTCTTTTGAAAAATATTCCAGAGCTCTCTTATAATGATTAACACACTGTTTCATGTTCAAATTAAATACTTTAACTTCTTGTTGAAATTCCTTAGTGTTTTCATCATGGCATTTTTACTTCATTATTTTTTGCAGAAAGAACTAGAGAAACAGAAGAGAATTAAAAGGAACCAAGAGTTGGAAGCAGTAGCCACAGAACATTATAAAAAGCTCTTGCTAAGAAAAAAAGGTCTAGAACCTTGGAAGAGATTGAGAATGCAAAGCAAACAAAACACCCAGGTGCAGTGTCCCACTCTTACCCTCACCCTCAAAATTAGAAAACAACTTCTTCAAATAGCACAAGTATCAAAACTAAGCTTTAGGAGGAGTTTGGTGATTTAAAACTCTAAAACATAAATTATTTAAGTGTATGTATTTATTTGTTTGGGATAAGAGTTTGTATTTAATCTTTTAAAGACTTTCTAATTTAGCAGGTTGGAAAAAATTAGAATACATTTTTATTAGAGATCTTCAAGGTAAGAGGAACAGAGACTTCTAGTAATTTTAGCAGAATTTAAGAAACAGAAAAGGTTATCAGGTGTATTAGGTTCTACTGTGATAACTTTGCCTAATATCAGTGGCTTACAAGAATTTATTTCTCACTCACATGTCTGTGGGCTAATTGTGTGTTGAGTTTAGGTCTCTCCCCATACCTCATTCTGATTCCAGCATGCTTTCACCTGGCAGCTGTCAGATATACAAAAGACCAAGCCAAATTATGTAAACCTATATGAAACCTCTGCTGCCCACTAATATTTCACTGGACAATGCAAGTCATAGAGCCACAATCAAGGTCATTGAGGGGGGAAAAGAAGATCCATCTATTCCACTGGAAGGCACTGTGAAATCATATTACAAATGGTATATATATATAATTCTGTTATAGAGATCTATCACAGAGACATATGAAATTGAATACCACTGAAATTTCTCTCATAAATTTATCCACTGCATGGAACAGAGTATTCAAGTGTGTGATCATGAAGTTCAAAATAGATGAAACGTTGGCTTCCAGGTTGTATATACCACAGAATACCCTTGTGATGTTCATTTTGGCCAATAAATATGACTACCAAAAGGTTTGCTTGGATCAGTCATATTCACAGGGATGAAAGACTAAGAAAAGACTTAGAAAATATTTCATTGCCTGGAGAGAACTAAGAGAGAGGGTTTTTTCTCATGTCTCTTGAAAGAATAAAACAATACAGAAAACAACAATACTTTATAAAATCTATAAACAGCAAGTTGTATTTTTTTTGATAGAATGATACTCTTTGCCTTACGAGTTTCTAGGACGTTGATGCTCATCATGTTATTTTTCTACAAATGGTTTGTGATTTATTGATAATATCTAAATTTTAATGCTTGTGACAGTTTATTACAACTAATTGACAGTATTGGCATTTTCTCAATTAAACAGTGGTTAAGTACATAATAAAGAGAGGTTTGTTATGGAGTTGCTGTCCTTGTTTCAGGAGAGCAAACCAAGAATGTTTCCATCCACCCACTCCAAAACTCAATGGAAGTGAAGTGACAGCTTTGGAGATTGTTTATGCCATTTCTATAACAGCCAGTCAGGGAGTGGTCTTCAGGGAGTCAGCATTGGGCCATGCATAATGATGTGTATCTATATCCTCCAAATAACAGGGCAGTCAAAACTTCTGGGTCATAGACTGTCTATACTTAGGGTTCTTCTTCCCTAAGAACTGCTTAAATGCAGTATACAGTATCATATACTACAAGCTGAAGTTTTCTTAAATGATTTAAAATTTAAGGAATAATTTCCTTTTCTCACTTAAAAATATATCTAGGTGGCAGAAGAACATCACTCTTTGGCTCTACAAAGGAAATGCCTGCTGACCTGGTTCCAGTGTAGTCAGGACAGTCTGACTAGGAAGATGGCCCAGGCAGATCAATTTTATTCCCACATATTGCTTAGGAGAGTCTTTCAGGGCTGGCTACAGGTAAGGACACTTTTCTTTCCATCCTGGGAACTGAACCCAAGGCATGCAACACAAGCACTCTATCAATGAGCTACATCCTCTTTTTTCTTTATCCCTCTAGCATCCTTTGTTCCTTTGTTTTGTATATTTCTGTTCTCTCTCTCTCTCTCTCTCTCTCTCTCTCTCTCTCTCTCTCTATTATTTGCTCTAATTCTTTTTTTTTTCTTTTTTCTTTTTTGGTACCGCAGATTGAACTCAGGTGCACTCGACCACTGGGCCACATACTCAGCCCTTTTTTGTATTTTATTTAGAGACAGAGTCTCACTGAGTTGCTTAGTGTGCCTCACCATTGCTGAGGCTGGTTTTGAACTCATGATCCTCCTGCCTCAGCCTCCCGAGCCATTGGGATTACAGGCATGTGCCACTGCGTCCAGGTATTTGCTCTAATTCTTTGTCTATTGATATTATTTGTCTCACTTCTGTTCCTGTCCTTATCCCCAGTACATGATTGATCTGGAGGAACAAGTGAGAAACCTTTGTGTACATTTCCTTCAGAAGAGGATTTTCAGAGCCTGGTTTACAGTGGTCAAAGAGGCGAAGATTGATGCTCAGAACAAGCACGAGATCTCAGTGGAATATAGTGACAGGTGAGGTTTTGATCTTTAAGGAAATTCACTGACTTCACAAATGCTCTTCTGCTGGAATATGTCTTGAAATAGGAAGTGGAGGCAAGGAGAGCTAAGCCCTCTGACACCAGGCAGGGTTGGGAGTCCCAGCATATCCACTGACTATATGGGTAAGAGGGAAACACTGACCACCCTGGGATTCTAGGGGAACCCATCTTTAAAATGAGATGGAGGCCTGCCCCCTTCACCTCACCGAGACTAGCAAGGAGATCAAATATGTGGATTACACACAACACACCTAAGTAAATATACTGTCTGCTTCATTAGTTTTTTAACATTATTAGTTGTGAACTATAACACAAATACAGAAAAGTACCTAAATCATACAGTCTAATGAATTGTTTAGAAGTAGACATCCAGGGCTGGGGGTGGAGCTCAGTAATAGAGCAATGCCTAGCATGTGTGAGGCACTGGGTTTGATCCTCAGCACCACATAAAAGTAAATAAATAAAATAAAGGTATTGTGTCCATCTATAACTAAAAACATTTTTTTTAAAAAGTAAACATCCATTTCACCATGACTGAGGTCAAGATGTAGAACATCACAGTCCGCCAAGCTCCTTCCCAATCATAAGTCCCTCCCAAAGATAAACTATTCTCCTGACTTTTACAGTGAACCCTTCCTAACTTTCCTTTATACTTTTCCCTCCTAAGTATGCAGCCTTTAATGCTATTATGCTATTGTTTTGTTTTTGTTTTGGGCCTGGTTTAGAACTTTTTATACATGGAATCATACTGTATATCATATTAATATTTAAAATAATAATTTAATCCAGTATTTTTAGAAAATAAGGTAGTCTATATAAATACATTTTTTTCTTTGATTTCTAATTTTAAGCATTTTGTACAAAAAATGTTCTGAATATTATGCACTTCCCTTTGAGAGTAAACAGTCTATCCTTTTTGGTGATTTGGTATCATTCCTTATGAACATTGGTGAATGTGGTGGGTGCTTTCAGGATGCCTCTGGGTTTTGAGATGTGAAGATTGTTTTGATGTGTACAAATATCTCTTTTGTCACTGCCCTCAGATTTATTTTGGTTGCTTTCATTTGTAGGAGTATGTGTGTGTGTGTGTTTGTGTGTGTACATGCGCGCTCTTGTGTGTGCATATCTCTGTTCTTTTTATTAGTTTTCATAATTTAGTACACTAGAATACCGACTCCTAGCAAAAACCGTTCATCCATGTTTAATTTACAGGTACTGGAAATCAGTGGTCTGGCAACCGATAAGCAAGTTGATTATGATTTTGTATAAATTAAAATAAATATGCAATAAGTGAGAGTATTCAGAGGTTTGCCTTTGAATAAAAATGCTTCAGATTTAGAATCTGAAAGGTAGGACTCAATATCTCTGTGACTTTGGACAAATAACCTTTCAAAACCTTCCTGATTCCCCTTTCTAAAATGAAGATAACAAAAGAACCTATTTTATAGGGTTGTTGTGAAAAGTAAGCAAGGTATCATTGTAATGCACTGGTTTGTCCAAAAGAATAGCTAATATTTTTTAGTTAGTGTCATTGTGAATGTATTTTTATTAAAATGCTTTTTTGCCTTTCTTTGTTTTCTTTCTGTTTCTCAGCCATTGAATAGAGGCTGCGATTTATTGTAGCTTCATAACAAACCATCTTATCACAGTGTAACCCAGGGGTGGGGAGCAGATTTCATGATTTGCATTTTCAGGCAAGGAAACAGGCTGTAGGCAGGTAGATGAATTATTCAAGGCAGACAGATAATGCATGGCAGCTCCCTGGATCAGTCTTCCTCCCCATTTTCATAATTCACTGTCATTGGTAAACTATAACAAATGATATAGTTAAGATATCTTAAGTATATCATATAGTTAATGATATAGTAAAGATATATATGGTATAGTTAAGATAGTTTGTAAGATAGTGTTTCTCTTCAGGGTTTGAAGTTATGAAATCAATGTAGGAATCCATGCAATCAACAAGGAATACAATTTCAGCAGTGTCTCCTTGATATGAAAGTATTGTTGTGACTTCATCTCTTCCCATTTTACTCCTTGTTTACTGTGTTCCTGACCCACTTGCCTCTATTCTTTGGACATACAAAGCTCACTTCTGCTTCAGAGAATTCATAGGACCTGGACTTTCCCATCATTCAGACATCTGCTCAAATATCACCTGACCAACCTACCTTCATCACTGTCTAGCTGTTTACTTGCCCTATTTCTTTCCATGCAGGGGGGCAGAGCATTTCAGCAGGGTAGAACAGTAGGAACTAAAATGTGGAAGTCAGAAAATGGTTGTGTAGACAGGAGAAATAAGATGTGAATAGCAGGTAAAAGTGGGAGACAGGTTCAAGGACTGGGAGAGGGCCTATTATTATTTGGATATGAGGTGTTCCTAAAAGCTCCTATGTTAATGCAGGAGGTAAAATGATTAGATTGGGAGAACTGTAACCTTAAACAATGGATTAATCTATTGATGAATTAATAATTCAAATGGATGAACTGGATGGTAACTCTACACAGGTGGGCTTGACTAGAGGAAATGGTTACTGTAATCATGCCTTAGAGATTATGTGTTTTGTTCCTGGCTCCTCATGTTCTCTCTGTGCTTCCTGGCTGTCTTGAGATGAACAGGTTTCCTCTAAGAGGCCATTCCAACATGAGGTTTTGCTTCACCTTAGGTCCAGAGTAATGGAGCAGGCTGACCATTGAATGAACCTCTGAAAGTATGAACCAAAATAAATTTTTCCTCCTCTAAATTGTTCTTTTCAGGAATTTTGGTCAGAGTGACAAAAAACTGACTGAAATTGGTACTGAGAAGTACAGAAAGTGCTGTGACTAACCTGACGATGTGGTTCAAAAGCCTGTGGAACTGGTTTGCAGAAGGAGTTTGGAACATTTTGATAATTCAGGCTGGAGAAGCCTTAGAATGTTGTAAACTTAGTGAAGATCTCAGAAAACCAGAATTCTCACAGGAGTGCCGATAGTAAAGGATTATATTCATGAGGTTTCATAGAATTGAAGACTCTCTTGGGAATTAGATTAGAGAGCATTCATGTTAGATTCTGGCAAAGAACTTTTCTACAGATTCCCCACATCCTGAGACTTTATGTAAGGCTAAATTTAAAGGTAATGGACTGATTAATCTGGTGGAGGAAATTTTTAAGGCAGCACAACATTCAGGCAGTGTTATGACTAATGCTGGCAACTTTTTTAGTCAGGTTTACTGTGATAATTGGGAACAAAAAGCAGAAAAGATTTTTTTAAAATTTGCAATCAGCCAGAAAAGTGTATATAAAATTGGGGATAAGGAAGGTGTGGTCATTGAAAGAATTACTGCCACTAAGGAGAAGCCAAGTACTTTGCACAGAGACAATAGGAAAGATACCTTGAGGGTATCTCTTGAATCAGCAAGACCACGCCCATGGCAGGCTTAAGAGTGTAGAAGTGAAAATGCCTTTGAAAAGAAATCATGGAGGCACCCAGCTCACCTAGCAGAACCCACAAAGTTATTTCCCCAGAATTTGTTTCATTTTGTTCAGCCACCCAGGTACAAAGAGGCTATTAAAGCCATGGTCCAAGGAGGCCCAGATACTGCCTGAGCTTGCAGCAGACTTTGGTATCATTCTACATGGCACTGGTTCTGGAGGACTACAGGATGCTGAAGTTAAGGGTTATGGAGGTTTCTGCTGAGATTTCAAAGGAAGGCTTGGGAGGCCAGGCAAAGTATAGCAGGGTTGGAATCCCTATCAGCCGCCCTTGAGAGTGCAATGCATGAAGCTGTGAAGGTGAAGCTGAAGCTGTAGTGGAGACCCCAGGAATTAAGAGATGAAAATGATAGGGACTGGGAGCTGAGAAAAGCTGCTGGCCTCAGAGAGAGCCATCCCAAGAGAGAGACCACGTAGGGTGCAACCAGCAAGGTCATAGAGGTGGGGCTGCCCAAGCCCTTTGGAGATCACATCTCACCACTGTGAGTCCTCAGTGCTGGTTGTGGAGCTACAGGACCTATTTTCCCAGCTAGATCTTACTTTGGTCTCATCCCTTCTTCCTATGCCTCTACTCTTCCCTTTTATAATGAAAATGTTTACTCTGTGTGTTTTTGTCAGCTTTTTCACTGCTGTGACAAAAAGACCTGACTAGAACAATTTTAGATGAAGAAAAGTTTATTTGGCACTCATATTTTCAGAGATCTCAGTCCACACACAGCCATCTCCAATGCTCTGGGTCCAAGGTGAGGCAAAACATCAGAGCAGAAGGACATGAAGAAAGCAGCTCAGGACATAACAATCAGGAAGCAGAGAGAGATATTGCCTATCACCAAGGACAAAATATATACCCCAGAGTCACACCCTTAGTGTCCTATCTCCTCCAGTCATACCCTACTATCTATTCAAGTGGATTAATGCACTGATTAGGTTAAGACTCTCATAACAGTCCGTTTCACCTCTAAACTTCTTGCATTGTCTCACAGGGGCGCTTTTGTGGCATATCTCATATCTAAACCATAACACTGCGCCATATATATTGGATATACATAATCTGCTTTTGATTGTTACAAGAGCTTACAACCAACAGTTAGCCTTAAGTCTCAAGTGAGACTTTGGACTTGGACTTTTGGGCCATGCTTGAACTGTTAMGATTATAAGGACTCTTGGAAATGAACTAATGTATTTTACATTATGAGATAGCCATGAGCTTTTGGGGACAAGACAGAATGTTGTGGTTTGGATACAAGATGCCCCTGAAAAACTCCTGTGTTAATGTAAAAGGTGAAATGATATAGTGGAAGCTATAACCTAATCATTGGATTAACTCACTTGATGGATTAATAATTTAAATGAACTAAATGGGTGTAACTCCAGGCAGGTGGGACATTGCTAGAGAAAATGGGTCACTGGGGGTGTGTATTGGGGATTATATATATCCTCCCCCCCCCCGCTTTTTTTGTGCTCTCTGCTTCCTAGTTGTTAAGATTTGAGTTACTTTCATCTACCATTATCTTCTGCCATGACCTTCTGCTTCACCTGAGGCCAGAGCAATGGAGTCAGATGACCAGGGGCTGAGACCTGTGAAATTGTGAACTGAAATAAACTCTTCCTCCTCTAAGTTGTTCTTGTCAGGTATTTTTGTCTCAAAGTGATAAAAAGTTGACTAACACAGGGCCCTAGAGATGAGTACAGGAAGCTGTAAATGATGGACTGGATGGATAAAAAGTTCAAAGCTCCATGTGCACACTCCCCCTTATCCCCCCTCTTTGTCTCATACTTCTACCAATAAAAATCAACCTTATCCAAAACATCAGACAACCAACAGCCATAAAACTAATGAGAATTGAGACTCATTCCAGGCTTCATTAGGTGGTTAAGAGGCTAGAACAAATCCTTCCTCCAGTTGTGAAAATATAAACTACTCTGACCTCTGTTTCAACATAACTGCTCTTGTAATTCCTCACACATGCTCGGCTATTCTTGCCTCTTTGCCTTTATTCAAGATGCACCCTCTTCTGGGAAAGCCTTTCCTTTGCCCTGACTAAAATGCTGTTCAGAGATCTTGTCTTTCAAAAGCCTCGGACACTCCTCATCACCAGACTGGGCAGCCCCTGTCCTTCTCACCACTGAGGTCCCTTCCCACTGTACTGAAACTCTGGGTTCACTTTAATTGTCTCCTTGGGTAGGTGTCCCGGCTCTCCTGTACATGGCTGGTGTTCAGATTGAGCAGGCACTGAGAAACCCTCCAAGGACATTGCATGCTTTCCTGTGATCATAGAGACAAAGCTTCAGTGGCCCTCCTTAACCATGCTTCCACAATTAATGTTAGGTTTTTTCTCAACTGGAGTCAGACTTTTCTTTTTTTCCTGTTTTTGTTTTTATTCTTGTTGGAGGTGACGTTATCAGAAGGCATTTATTTTTGTTTGTTTTTGCAGTACTGGGAATTAGCTCAGGGGAACTACATCCCCAGCCTCCTTTCAAATTTTGAGACAGGGTTTTGCTAATTGCCCAGGTTAGCTTTGAACTTGTAATCCTCTTGCCTTATCCTCCCCCAAGTCTCTGGGATTATAGGTGTGCACCACTGTACCCAGAAACCAGCAGGCTTTTAAAATATAACTAAGCACTGAAGTCCCAGTGCCCATAGTAGTGGCACATTCTGAATGTAGTTTTCCAAAATCTTTGCCCTGAGTGTTGTTGCTGTCAGTGCCCTTGCTGGAATCACTTGATCCTGGCTTGGGCACAAAATAACACAGGTAGTGATCAGATCACCTGAGAAACATGTCTTATAGCCTGCATTATCAGAGGCCAACTGGGTCCTCTGCTCAAATGTCATCTCCTTAGAAAGGCTTTCCCTGCAATCTTACCAAAATAAATAATCTCCCTCTCCACTCTCATCCCCTTTTACTGAATCCCAGTTGTGATTTCCACACATTTTATGTAACCTTTTATTCACATAATTATTTTTTAATAGGTGGACACAATATCTATTTTATTTTATGTGGTGCTGAGGATGAAACCCAGTGCCTCACTCATGCTAGGCAAGCACTCTACCTCTGAGCCACAACCCCAGCCCCCCACATAATTATTTTAATAGTGTTTAAATGTACATCAGTTGGAAAGTCAACTTTTCCTTAATATTTTACCCTTCCTCCCAACTTTATTTTTAAAGGAGGATTCTCAGCCAAGCATTTCAGACATGGAAGACATCTGTAAGATTTATGAAAGACGAAAGGGGGAAAGAAGAAAGGCGAGAGCAGCTCCGCAGGAAGGTGGCTGAAATTCTCCCAGACTTCCAGATGTTGGCACCATCATGACTATTACTTATCCCTTCAGTCAGATACTCATCCCTTGAGTAAGAGAAGTCTTTTGTGTACCCATAAATACAGAAGCAGTGGCCAGTTGGTCCAGAATGTGTGTGTATGTTGTCTCCACCCACCCACGTACATTCCTGGACCTGGTCTGTTTCTGAGATACTTTGTTTTTGAACTTGTAATCCTCTTGCTAGTCATTTACTATAGCATTTAGCACAGAGGGATCATATGAAGTTAGAGTCTAGGATACTACTATTCAAGTGTATCCTATACATTTTTAGCATAGTAAACTTTAAAAAGGACAAGTCTTTGCCTGCTGAGCTTGTGAAGGAAAGTATGTGTCCTTATGTCTTAATTGGAGCTATTGATAGAAACCTACTTTAAATATAGTAAGTACTCAGAAAAGGAAGCATGGATGGTCAGAGTTTGAGGACAAGTGTCCTACAACACCCATCCCTTTTTGGCCACCCCTTATGGCAAAACATGTAATACATGGAGGGTAGCAGCTTATCCTGATTTTTAGAGAAACTGGGTCAATGAATATAATATACCTTGATAAGCATAAATTCCAAAAGTTAATAACTCTGTCAAAGACAGTCCAGCAGTCCATTAAAATATCTATTCATGCTCCCAATTGCAACTTCATATAAGCCACTGGATTTGTCTTCTAGTCCTCAGCTCAGTTTGATCTAGATGTTGAATTACTTATCTCTAAGGTCCTTGAAGGTACACTGATAAAATGGTCTCGTCTTATAAACTGTCTTAGAGAATTACCTGGTAGGAAAAAATTTTCATCACCAATACATGTTTATTGTGGCAATTCAAATAATCTACTAATACACATGGTAAAACAAGTAAGATCCTTGTCGCCCTGAGGGATCTGTTATATGGTGTGTTAGAAATGTGAATTGGTAAAATAAAGTCTTATGGTTTTTCAAGTGAAAGTGCCTGTCTCCATCTTGTACTTCCTGGAAGGGATATCCCTCTCCACCACCTGCAACGTGCCTTGCATCCTTTTCTCATGGAAGATATATGATGATTAACCAAGATATGATAAAACACCCCTAAATGAACTTTTACTGCTTCTACAATAATCTTCCCCCACGCGTTGTCTCCTTTAATTATAGCTGTTTTTAAAACTAAAGAAAATAGTCTTTAATGTGATTATAGTTGTTTTTAAAACTAAAAAAAATAATAATCTTTTCTAAGATGATTCTAAGAAAATGGAACTAAAAGTAATTCATTTCTTTCCATCCAAACCACTGTATACATTTAACAATATAACAGTTAACAGAATATTGGATGATATTAGCACCCAAAAGCAAATATCAGTATTAATTCAATGCCAAGACTGTAGATAAGGAAGGGTGAATTCCTCAAATAAAAACGTCAGGGACCTAAATAGATCCCATTCAAGTTTTCCTTTTTTGGGATGGGGGAACCAGGGATTGAACCCTGAGCCCTTTTCATTTCATTTTGAGAAAGGATCTCACTAAGTTGCTTACACTGGGCTTGAGCTTGTCATCCTCTTGCTTTAGCCTCCTGAGTAGCTGGGACTACAGCTGTGTACCACCACATCTAGCTTATTTTCTTTCTTAAGCTTTATTTTTGCTCACCTCAAGCTTGGCAATCCATAATATTCTGATTATGGATATGAATATTATAATCATATAATATTCTGATTAGACCACCTAGACTTTTTAAACTACCTGTAAAACCCTCAAAAGAGATAGTTCAGAACTATCAGAAAACTATGACTTGAAATGTGACTGCTAACACAACACCTGAAACAAGCAGTTTCCTGATATACAAAACTGGAAAAATAACCAAGAAAATGATGGTTTGGGGTTAGGAACAGGTCCATAGGATGGGAAATCAAGGTAGCCAAAGCAGCAGCAGCTACAATGCAGGACTTTCTTAAAGCAAATGAATCCAGGAGACACACCAAACTATTTTCCTTAAAGAAAGCACTTTATTTTCCATTTAAACAACTTGGTCACAGGATATCATTTTACACAAATGGCAGTAATTTGTAAAATCTCGATTTAAAAGGCCTTGCATCTGATTCTGAGGTGATAAGAGGATAAGAATACAGGTATAAAAACAGTGCAATATGTAATCCATGGCCTCCAGGTTGACTTCAGAAATCCTTTAATGTTACTGGGCCAGTACCATTAAATATTGAATTTTTAATATTAAATAAATACTTCTGGGTTTCCTTTAGTCCAACATCAGGCCCAGAAATGTAATAAAATGAAAAGGCCCCAAACATCTCAAACCATCAAATCACCTAGACAGAAGGATCACAAGTTGAGCTTACAAGCTCTGTAACATGGCATCTTGTCTATGGATCCAGCTGAAGAAACACAGAACTTCAGTTGCATCAACAATTAAAATAGACTAGCTGAGGTTTTAAAGCTTTGCTTTATAAATATGAGTTTCTAGAGGTGAAAGGTGCTATTTGAAGACTAAAGCACTAGTAAGTCACAGGCCCCACTTGGAGATGGCCACAGCCTCTAAGAAATGTGTTTCCATTGACCATTTAGTCTGTGGCCCATGGCTTGTACTCCAGTGAGACACTCAGTGCCAGCCAGAGTGGGGATAACTATACTAGCAACAGGATTACACTTAGCTGACCCTTCAAACAGTTTATATTAATCACAGCAAACATACTGAGTTTTATTCGGTATTAAGTTCAGCATGGCTTTGATTCTCCCCTGCATCGACTTTGCAGTGCTGGATATAAAATGGCACACTTGTCAAACTGCCGAGAACACTGGATCCCAAACAGGTGCCTCAAGCAAAAGTCTCTTATCATCCATTGCTTGTTTGAGAAAATTCTTCTTTAAAATGCAGAGTACCAAAATATGGCTAAAATGAAGTAATTCATATAAACCTATTTACCTAGTTGATAGAGATCCTTAAACCTCACAGAATATTGATTTTTAAATATCTTGGTTAAAACTGTGCTTCTAGTGTCATATTTTTGCTTCTATTAATTGAGCTTCATAATAAAAAGCTAATTTCCTAACCAAGGAAATAAGTCTGTTAAGCAGATGATCAGTATTACACAGAAACTTACTGGCATTGTGTTTTCTGGCAGTGAGAGATTCTAGTATAGAAAATTTTCTCTTTTTAAAAATATTAGAAGTACCAAGGACTATTGCATAAGAGGAAGTCTGTAGCAATCTTACTTCTAGGCAGAAGGAACAGTGGAAGACAATAATCACTTCACTCACCAAAGGAAAACAGTACTCGGAGAGCAAAGATTTATAACATCCTAAAGACAAACACAAATGTAGCTGAGGGTGAAACAAGCAGTATGCTATCCTGAAAACAAACTTAAGGCTTTACTTTAGCAGCATAAGAGTAACCTACCAAAGAGGCATTGTTAATGGTCTGCTCATTTCAGAAGCACCCAGCTAGAACCACAGGAGTATTTTGTGGGTATCCTAAGAAACACTGAACATCAAAGAATTTTCTCCTTTTGTCCAATCCTGACCCTTAACTATCTGTCCCTTGAGTCTTTCAAATGGACTCATTCCTCTTCCCCAAGAAAGTACACAGTGGTATGATAATTCTGTAAGTGGCCAGAATATAACAGGCAATTTATTAAGCTTCACATCCAGAATGTTTCTGAACAGAGTCTGGGGATGTGAGGCAACCAGAAGGGGAGGGACATGAGGGTGATGGGAAGGAGTTTGCTCTTATGGCCAAGGGACTGCTGGGATATAGATTTGCAGGGCAATTCTTCACTACCACAACTACCAGATATTTCTCTGGGATGACTCAAACAGAGAGATCTTGTCCTTTCAAACACTCCACAGTAAATTCTCTTGCCCTCCAGAGAGAACCAAGGCCTATAATGACATCCCTTAGATGGTTCCAGATTATAAAATGGCTCAAAAGTCTAGACCAAGGATGTTGCAGAGACTACAGAAACACTGTGCACATGTAGACCCTTGTTTGCTGCTCCTTTTGGTTTAAACACTTCAGAAAGCTTTTACTCCACAAAAACAATGAGCTTCCTTCAGGTTTGAGCTTTTTCAGTAAACTGACAATCATGAGTTCTTAAGGAATTTAAACCAAGTATCTTAATTCCAATAAGCCAGAATAATATCTAAGCAGTTCCCATCCAAGTAAGGGACACTGAGTTGCCTCATCCAGGTAATCAATGTCAGGAGTGAGATGTTACAGAGATGGTGAACATTCCTAAATCTCCTCGATGACTTTGGTCTTTTTGTACTACTGTTATCATATTTTTTGTTTGGTTTTTGGTACTGGGGAATTGAACCCAGGGGCACTTAACCACTGAACCACATCCCTAGCATTTTTTTGTATTTTATTTAGAGACAGGGTCTCACTGAGTTGCCTAGCACCTTGCTTTTTTCTGAGGCTGGCTTTGAACTTGCAATCCTCTTGCCTCAACCTCCTAAGCCACTCGGATTACAGGCATGTGCCACTGCACCCAGCTCACATCACATTTGGATTGCTATTTACTGTGTGGCAAGTTATTATAAGTGACTATACTGATGTACCTATGAATTTTTATTATCAATCACTAGATAATCAGTTAGCTATTTAGCTGGGGCTCAAGACACATGAAAACTACCAATTTCTGCCTACATAACGCTGTCCTTGACATTATTACCAACTCTCGTATCTAAAACCTACACAGAAAGAAATTAGTTATATCAGAGCCAACTTCAATTCTAWAAGAATATTTGACTCTGGGCCAGAGAGAGGGCATCACTGTAGAAACCACAGTGTCTGCTGGCATTCCCAGGCTGGGTCTTTGGCTCGTCCCAATGGAACACAAAGCCTATCATTTGTTAAACAATCATCTCTGGGGAGAGTAATGACATGCCTGAATAAAAATGTAATGACAATATCTTAAGAAGAATGTCAACTAATGACAAGACTAGGGATGGTGCTACCCAGAATTGTAGGAAGTAGTATTTCCTCTTAACACGTACAAATCTATTGCTAAAGCAGCATGCACTGACTGATGGAAAAAGCTAGCAGTATTTCCCCTATATTAAGCAACAAGCCAAGGCAAATTTAAGGACTCAAGAATTATCTTTGGGATTGCAGAACAGTACATGTATAAAATCAAACATTTCAAGAGAGTATTTTCCCTATATGAAATGCACTCTTAATTCTATGGCAGAATGATCCATTCTATATAAATATTCCATCTAATACATTTCCAGTTTTGAGATATGATTAAAGAAACAACTTATTACTTTGGAGAAAATGAGGGAAGAATGCATTAATGAAAGTAAGCCACATATACCCTGTTTTTCTCTCCTAGTGAGATACTTTATGTAGGGAAGAGTGAATGGAAAATAATGTGTAAGTTAAGTGGGAAGATGTCAATCAACTCCTCAAAGACAGTTTATGCCAGAATAATGTGACTGCCACAAGACTGGTTTTTGCAATTTGGTGCTATAAAGTTACAGCACTTGAAACATGTATGTAGAGAATAAAAAAGAAAAAAACAAGCCCTTGATATTAATTAAGTCTCCCTACCAAGAAAAAGACTCCCTAATATAAGAGTGCTGTTCTTCTTCCAGCCACTATCTTGTGTGCTAGCACCTTACCAGGTGAAACACAGAAAGAGGAAAAAACCCTTCAATACCTTTTGGAGTCTGTTACAGTAAATACAACACGTAAAAAAATAAAAATAACTCATTTCCTATACTCATGACCACTACACATTACATTGATAATAATTATCTTCATCATTGTTATCAATTGTTCATTTAAGATCAGATGACCAGAATCAGTCCATCTCATCATCTCTTGCCCTGTGTGAGTAGTTAATGTCTAATACTTAAGGAGAAATTCCCATAACTGTACAACATATTATATGCTGAAAACTGATAACCCTAATAATATTGGCTTTAGTATTCTGAACCACAACATTTTTATTCAGTCTTGGGATTTTCCTAATAACATTTCACATATTCAGGTGTTTATTAAATTGTTTCATAGTGCTTTCCACATCCCTCATCCTCATGTGACCCTTGTGTGACCCTCCTGTGATCTTCTGTGAAGTAGCCAGGGCAGGCATCAGTACCCCATGCTACAGATGAACCTGAGACTTGGGAAAGTGACTCGACTAAGGGTCACATGGCTATTAAAAAATTGAAAGAGGGACTAGAAGCTCTCCTAATCCCAAACTCCTCCTGCCATGTTAATGGATGGGAATTGCTTCTATCAATTTGTGCATTAGCAATCCACATCCTTTTCAACCTCTGGTGATTCAGTCAATTAATAAGGTGACTGGAAAGGAATGGCTCTACTTTTACTGCTTCAATATAAAAATCTCTTTATGTTTGAAGTCAGAAAAATTAATTTCTCTCCAGTCCAGTATCCAAACCTGAGCATGGCCCTATAATGCCTGTAAGGAACTGGGGAAAAAATGAACATCCTGCATGGACACTGAAGTGTAAAATGGAAAGGAGCCGCACAAAAGGCACTTCAGACGATGTCCTCGGCAGGGTGGTGGAATGCACGCGTGCCCAGGGTGGAGAACTGTTGCCAGTTCCGCAGGAAGCCCCTATTGTACTGGCCTGTGTCCACGATGAGCCCACAGAGGAGCCGGCGCCCGGTCTTCTGTCGAAGGGCCTGCTGGACTTCCCGCTCAGTCACATTGTAGCTGATATTTATCAGCTGGATCAGGAAGATGTAGGCCATACCCGCTGTGATGATCACAGAGTACCACACACAGGTGAAGGACAGAGCCGAGCTGCGAAGGGAAAAAAGGGCTACTGCCATTTTTGTCACATAGAGTCCTTACCATTCTCACATTTTATACATTTTCTACTTATTACTAAGGACTTTGCCATTTTTTCCAATCCTCCAAACTTAAAAATACCTTACTACCCTCAGAATACCAATAGCTGGTTTAATTTACAAGAACTAACATGTTCTACTGTATTTTATAATCATCAGTGCCTCTGTTTCTAGTATGTTATACTAGAATAGCAAGGGCAGTTTTTTTACATTTTGTATCTTCCACACAACCAGCACAGCCCTGACACAATGACATTCAACATCTGTTTTTAGTGATGAATGAATGTGTAATTCCTAAAATGTACCTAACACAGGAGAAAATGAAGATGCCATAAGTTTGCCAAAAATGTCCTCTAGGAAGTTGCAATGGGAACCAAGGAACCGTGCTTAAGTTATTAATCTCCATTCTTTTTCTAGTCCAAGGCAGACAAACACAAAGTAGAAAGCAAGTTTCAATACTTAGTAGCCTCAATTATAAGATCTGCAGGAGCACTACAACATTTCCAACTCAGCTTCCTAAAACAAATTACCTTACAAGGCAGCAAAGCTCCTTTTAGGCTCATCAATGAAGCTGCGAGGAGGAGATGCCTAATCACACATGCCATTTGATTATATCCATTCAAACATGAGCAAATGGAAAGTTATTTGGAGATAAATTCACTCAGAATCTTCTTTTGTAAAGCTGAAAAGGGCCTCAGAAATGATTAAATCCAAGAACCTCACCATCAAAATGAGGTGACATGAGGGGCTGGGTTTGTGGCTCAGTGGCAGCACACCTGTCTGGCACGTGTGAAACACTGGGTTCGATCCTCAGCACCACATAAAAATATTGTGTCTACAACTAAAAAAGTATTTAAAGAAAAAAAAGATGATGTGACATGAATCACCTGCAGAGTGGAGTGAAAACCAACAGTGGGGTTGTGTTCCTTAGTTCATTTCAATCACCCCACAGAGCACAGACAGGTAGGATGAGCAGAGTTGAGATTTATCTGGAGAGATAGGAATTACTGTCTATAATCCCAAGACACCCAGGCCTGCTGTATCTAGAATTAGAGTCAGAGTACTTGTGTCTATCATGGAAAGAATCACACATCTTGTAGCTTGTATGTAGAGAGCCTGAGAACTAAGATTCTACAATGGCAGGTCTCCTAGGTCTGCTGGGATAAATGTTGAATGCCAAGGAAATAGAGGGACTAGAAGGAATGTCTGGACTCCCATGTTGCAGGGTGTTTCATGTATTTCCATAGAACTGGGATTCTATGATGACAAGATATGCTGGGCTGCTGAACTCTATGTGCAGTGGATGGATATGGATATCTATGGTAGAAGGATATTCAGAACTGCCAGGGTTTGCATGTAGATGCAGGGGCTGGAATTCTATAGTGCAAAGATTGTCAGGGATGCTTCTTTCTTTTCTTTCTTTATGGAAAGCAAGGAACTGGATTTTTCTGTTAGCAGAACTTGCAGAGCTGCTGAATTTATAAGGAAATTTCAGAGAACTCTGAATTTCTGACGGCAGGATATGCAGTGCTGCTAGACTCTTATGTTCAAGCAAGGCACTATGGTTCTATGTTGGCAGGACTCACAGGCTGATGGACTCTATGTGGAGATGCAGGGAAATGGGCTTCAATGATGGCTGGGCCTGGAATGCTGCCGGTGGTACATGGAAGTCCCAGGGAACTAAGGTTCTAAGATGGCAGGATTCACAGTGTTCCTGGACTCTACATGAAGACTAAGGAAAATTAACTTTATAATTGGAGCTCTTCCTGTGCTCTACACAAAGATCCAAATAACTAGGATTCTATTAATTGCACAATTCCCAGGATGCTAGGCACTATGTTTACAGTCACAGCATAGAGGTTTTCTTGTATAGGAATGTTGTTTCTTTGTGGAGAACCATTTCACTGGTTCTATGATGTGGATTCTCATGGTTGATGGACTCATATTGGAGATCAGGGACTGGAGATTTGTGATGGGTGTTTCCACATCACTGAAGGGCTCTACATGGAGATCCTTGAAACTTGCGTTCTATTAATGCAAAATTCCCAGGACAGATTTGCTCTCCTTGGATATACATGGAATAGGATTTCAATGGGTGGCAGAATGTGCAGGGCTGCTGATCTCTATGTGGAAGGGTAGAATCATAACTGGTGTTTTGATGTACATTTCTGATGGGCTCTACATTAGGCACCACATAATGGACATTTGATGATGATGGTGTTTCCTGGGATGCAGGGTTCTACAGGGAGAGTCATGGAACCGGAGTCTGTTATCACAGGAATTGGAGTTCTTTTGGGTTGTACATGGAGAGAGAAAATTGGGGTTCCATGATGTCATGGCAACAGGCTCTGCTGCAGGAAGGACATTCATCACCCACAGTGTCAGCCAAGAATTCCAAAACTAGATAACAGTCTCCAGTTGTCTAGGAAATAATTGTGCCCTGAGGAAGAGAACCAATCTATTTTAATAACACCCATAAATGTCCCAATCTAGAGTAACAGTGGGGAAATCTGTCCATAGACTGAAAAAAAAAAATTCGCATAGGATACTATGTGGAGAAAGCAGGGATGGTTATGAAGAAAGGCGAATGAAAAGAAAGAGGAAAGTACCACAACCTTTGCGGACAATGGAGGAAAGGAAAAAGAATGCTGCAGGGAAGCGCATGGTGTTGAGGGGTGGGGGTGACAAGGCCAACTCTGAAGAGTCCCAGTTTTTGCCACTGCATTGAAAACTTTACAGGGTATAAACAGGCCCCCACCTAATAATGCATAAGGAAATTTTGACCTAGATACCACAGTAATCATGAGTGATTAAAAAAAAAAAAAGAACAGGAAAAACCATGAGAAGTAAGAAAGAAAAGAAAGGTTATAAAGATCATAAGCACTTTTCAAAAGAATCAGAAGCAGTAAATTAAGGTTGGACTAAAGAGCATCTGAAAGTAGCAATAAAGTGAAAAATGATTCCTGGTATTGCTGGTTATATTTATTATTTCAGTTTCACTATTGTTACCTTGGGTGTGCAAGTGGTCATTTGACTCTGAAAGTTCCTGATTAAGCCTGGGCCTGTCTGTACAGTACTAGCTCCTCAGTTTTTATATTAACAATCCTTTTGACATCACCCTAGAAAAATGTATATAACCACAACACAATTTTATTGGCAATTTCAGGGATACCCAGGATCCCTATAACCTGTCCTTCATTTTGAACAAATCCTAACTTAACAGCAAATAACAACTCCTGTTAATGACAACATCCATTACTTCCTGGCTGAGTGTATCAACTTTGGGATACATATCTCACCTGTAATTTGCATAAACTCCAGGACAATAGAAAAGGGCAGTGAAGACACTTCTATCTCTACAAATGGTGTCCAAGGTCAGCATTATCCCGTACACCGAAGTGAGCAAGAAGATCAAAAGAGCAAGTATAAATGCTTGATGATTTGATTCTCCAACACAGCTGTTTATCCTAGAAACAGCATGGGGATGAAAAGCAAACATATTTTAAAGGTTCTTTATATAACTTAAACAATAAGAAAGCTTTTAAGATAAGAATAATGTAATTCAGTTATTAAAATGTTAAGTTCTCTTTTTCAACTTTAAAAAATTAAAACTTGTCAAACTGAGCAATACCTATATTCTATGTTCTTTACCAAGTAGAATCATTATCATTTAATTTTTTAAAAAAGCAAAAAGCAGACCTAGCTAAGGAATCATTTAAAATATATACACATATGTTGATATTATTTTATGTTAGAAATTGAACCCAGCGCCTTGCACATGCTAGGCAAGGGCTCCGCCATAGAGCTACACTCCTAACTCCTCTTCCTTGGTATTAATAAGCAAAGTCTATTAGCAAGTGACAAAGACAGTCAATAGTACCATCACCATGCTAAATAAAGAAAGGAAGCTACACAGTAGAGTTATGAAATCTTTAAAAATGCTAAGTCAGAAGTATTCAGTACAGGAGATTATTAAAAGGATCAAAGAGGTTAGAAACATAGTGTGGGGTAACCTGATAACATACAGGCTACTTGTTAAGTAAAAATAGTTCGGTGTCATGGCCATTTGCAGGGCAGGATGTACAAGCAGTCTCCCTTGCCTACTGCACACCAAGATGCTCAGATAGGCCAAGTAGATTTCACTTGGGAGAGGCTGTTAGGCCCTTGACAAACTAGCATATATACACACACAGGAATAAGTGATGAAGACAAAGAAGTAGAATATCTAAAAATGGAAATACCTTTACCCAAAAGACAAAGTCCCAGAAAAGAGCTGCCCCTGTATTTGGGTTGTACACTTGAGTTCCACTCCGATGCCCTCCTGACCTTTCCAGCACCCTCACCTTCTCCTGCATCCCCTGCTAAGAAGAGGTAAGCTATATGGCCAAAAAACACAATTCAATTATCACAACTACCTTAAGAGCAATGAAGCTACAAACATGCTACTTAACAGCAGTCCTGTACCTGAATACTCAATTCTCCTTTCAGTGTAGAGTAACTCCATAAAGCTGCAGACGTTATCTTTAAATGTTGCACTGTGTATCTAATGAACCTTACATGAGTTCCTCAGCCACTGGCCAGCTGGAAGGTATAAAAGAAGCCCATCCTTCTGCAAATAAGTAGTTATCTGATAGCGCTTCAACTCCATAATGTTGAGTGGAAATTACTGTTAGCATCAAAAATCATTAAGAGTGTATGGCAAGAGAACAAAAGAGTTACCTAAAAATAGGAGAACACGTTCCCGAGCCCTCTGTTCAAAAAGAATAGAAGAGAAAAATACACATATGCTGATAAATTCTGTTTTAAAAAAAACATTCAACTCTATTAGAAAGGAGAAAATAAATGAGTAGTTCCAAGGAAAATTGCAAAATGAAAAAGAAAGAAAAAGGAAAACCACACCCAAAGCGTTTTTCTCCTTCAGGAAATAACTGAAGAAACTAAATCTGTGAAATTCAAAAAACTGATGACTAAGTGGGAACATCCCTAAAGCCCGCAAATATCTACAAGGTGTAAAGCTGGGAAAGAGAGGAATTTTAGGCTAGCACAAAGATCAAATATGACTAGGGAGCTGTACATGAATTCACACTTTCCAGGCCTCCAAATTTTTCCAACATACCAGACACAATGATGATCCATTCTCCTTACACAGATGCCACAAATACGGCAATGCCAGGCCCGGGCTGGTCGCACCAGCTGGCATTTGGCACACCAGTCCTCCTTCACCTTGGTGGGGCTGCTGGCCAACATCCTGAAGGAGCCCTTAAGATCATCCTTCAGCGTGCGGTTGTTGAGACTCCCCGACGTGTCGGCTCCAGGAAACCCTTTGGTCTTCTCCTGCCCTTTTTTGCTCAGACATTCGTTTTGGCTGCTGCTTAGGGATTTGTCATTGCTTGCTGGATTGCTGAGGTAGCCTGGATTCTTCTTGGCTCTATACAAGGCTAAGAGTATCAGAAACAACCCGCAGGTAAGAACAGCCAGCCGAGTGGGCCCCACATGCCCTCTGGGAACCACTTCCCGCAGGAACACATAGTACATGTAGCCCAATGAGAACAGTCCAAGGCTCAGGAAAAACAGAGTCTGTTCTTTCCTTCTGTGAGTGAGGTAGTAGTACCACAGTGCCAGCACAGGAAGGGAGGTCAAAACCACCACCCCCAGGAGGAAATGCCAGGAAGCCACGTGAAGGAAGACAGGCAGAAGGACAAGTGGAGGAATGATGCTAATGTTAATTTTTTTGGCTCCCCTAAGCCATGGAATTCGGAGGCGATCAGAAATTGTATCCATGATTCTTTCACAAGTCTCTGGCTGCACTGATTTACACGTAAGCCATCTATTCAGAAAGAGCACAAAGAGAATACACTTCACATAGGTCTGCTGAATTCAAAACTACAGAACACTGAATGCCAAATAGCAGGATAATGATAAGAGACTAAAGGCCAAACATTTTATTTCTTTACTACTAAGCATGAGCTTTTCAGACTTTAAAAAACAGGAACAAGAAAATAATATTTAGAAATTTAACAGTCAAGATTATCTCTTAAACAAATACATAGGTATTTAATAAGTATATACACATACTCAATACAAGAAATATATAGATATGGGTGTGTATATGGTTAAAACAATCTCAAAAAATCACAGCCTGTACAAACAAAATGAGAATTCTACAAAATACTATATAAGGGACAAAGCAACAATAATCATCTAATGAATTCTTATGATCAAACATTATAAAAAGAGTTCTGAAGAAGGTGGAGTCATCAGAGGGGTCTTAGTAGAAAAAAAAATGGATCTGTACTTGACCCTGACAGCCAGCTAGCATTTATGTGGGTGGAGAGGAAGGGAGAAAGGAAGAGGAATGAGTGTAGCACAAGACCTGTCCTGGACAGCACATCACTTCAGCAGGGACAGGGCTCTGCACAAAGAAGAATGGAGATCAAACCAGTATGAGTTAAATGCCTGACCCTAATAAACAGAATGGTGTCTGTTGACACTTTTGCACACTTAGGCTATGCTATGGTCTGAATGTCTATGTTCCCCCATATTCACGTGCTAAAACCTAATCCTCAACACATTGGTATTAAGAGATAGGACTGCCAGAAACAGTGGTATGCACACTTATAGTTCTAGCTAATCTTTGGGAGGCTGAGACAGAAGGATCCTGGAGCCCAATAGTTCAAGGCCAACCTGGGCAACTTAGTAAGACCCTGTCTTTAAAAAAAAGGGGTCAGGGTGGGTATGGTAGTGCACACCTATAATCCCAGCAGCTTGGGAAGCTGTGGCAGGAGAATCTCAAGCTCAAAGCCAGCCTCAGCAACTGAGTGAGGGCCTAAAAACCTTAGCGAGACCCTGTCTCAAAATAAAAAATAAAAAAATGGGTTGGGGATGTCGCTTAGTGGTTGAACATCCCTCGGTTCAATCCCTGGTAAAAAAAGCGGAGGGGTGGGGGAGTTTAGGAAGTGATCAGGTCATACATGAGAGCAAATGGGATTAATACTTTATAAAAGAAGCCAAAAGAGCTCGTTTGCCTTCCTTCCATGTGAGGATGCAGCAAGAAGGCACCATCTATGAAGTAGACAGCAGCCCTCACCAATCACAGTATGTGCTCGTGCCCAGGTCTTCCCATGTCTTCAGAACTGTTGGCAATAAATTTCTGTCATTTATAACTTCCCCAGTCTAAGGTATTTTGTTATAGCCCAAAGAGACTAAGATAGAAATCAGTACTAAGAAGTGGGGTGGTGCTGTAATAAATACCTAAAAATATGGAAGCAGTTTCAGAATTGGACAGAGGCTAGAGTTTTGAAGTGCATCCTTAAAAAAAAAAAAAAACCTACATTACTGTGTAAGGGCAATTCTGGTGACAGCTCAAAGAAGAGAACGGTAGAGAAAAAGCCTCAATCTTAGAAATTATCTAAGAGATCATGAGCAGAATATTTAGAATATGAATGGTTAAAGGCCTTTCTGATGAAGTCTAAGTGGAAATGAGAAACTAGAAGAAAGGTGAGGCTTGACACAAAGTGACAAAGAACTTGGCTTAATTATGTTCATGTCCTCGTGTTTTGTAGAAGTTATAAGTCAAGAGGGATAGAACTGGATATTTGATGGAAGAAATCTCTTGAATAGTGTTCAAGGTGCTGCATGGCTTCTCTTGAATGCTTATAATAAAATGTGAGGAGACTTTAGGAGATAGAATTTATAATCAAAATGGAAACAGAACTTAGATTTGGAAGTTCTCAGCCTGTCTATATTGTAACAAATGAGAAAGTATGTTTGGGGGCAAACACCAAGGGTGTGGGTGAGGAGATCAGTATATAGACCAGTCATGCCATTCACTAAGGCAATGGAAGAATGATCCTGAAAGCTCCACTTCCAATACAAGTCTAGAATGCCAGGGCCTTGACAGACAGAACAGTTGCATAGGAAAGACCCAGTGTACCTGTGAGAATTCAGGGCTTGCTGCCCAGTGCCACCTGAAGTCTCTTATCCCTAAATTCTGGTGCAGCATTTCACAGCAGGCCCAGGCGTGACGCCAGTGGACCCAAGTGAAGTATAGGCTACAGTGTCCACCACTCCAAGGGTTTCTAGGGGTAAATCTTGGTGGTAGTCATAAGTACCAATTCTTAAGAGCTGTAGAGACATGACAGCCTCGAGGCCAAGGCAAAGAACTGACACAGGGACATAACCACCACAGAGAGCCCCTACTAGGGCAAAGCCTACAGAGTCATGGGAGTAGGGCCATTTTCCTATACCTAATAGGGCTGCCTGGGGGCCCCCAGACTGGTAGAACCACGAGTATGCAACTCTAGCCAGGGAAAGAGAGCTGTAAGCACATGACTCCAACTCATTGGAGCTTCAGTGTGGGCCACACCCAGCAAGTTATAGAGGGAGGAGTGCTCAGAGCTGTAGGGGCCCATTCTCCATCTCAGTATGTCTGGAAGGTAGAACTTCAAGCCCAAGTTTATTCTCAAGCCTGAATGTTGTTTTCCCTGTGGGGCTAGGAGCTTTCATTCCTTTCTCCTTCTTACTTTTGAACTAGAAATGTCTGTTCTATTCATGTCCCACCACTGTATTTCAGAAGCACACAATTTATTTATTTCACAGGTACATAGCTAGGAGATAATTTGCCTCAGGATGAACTGTACTTGAATCTTACTCATATCTGATTTAGATGATATTTAAATTATATTTGAACTTAAGACTTTTGTGTTGATGCTGGGAAAATAAAGAATTTTGAGGTTTGGGGAATGGAATGAATGTGTTTTGCATGTGAGGACATGAATTTGAGGGGTCAGTGGTGGAATGCTGAACACTGGTATCCCACCAAAGTTATACATTGGAACCTAATCCTCAAGGCAACTGTATTAAGAGATGGGGTCTTTAGGAGGCGACTATGTTACAAAGGCAGAACTCTCATGTGATTAGTGAGTGCCCTTAGAAAAGAAGCCCAACGAAGATTACTCACCCCTTCTGCCATGTGGGGATGCAGGTGCTATCTATGAGGAATAGGACTCTCACTAGATACTGATTCTGCCAGTACTCTGATCTCAGATTTCTCAGTCTCCAGAATGGTGAACAATAAATTTGTCATTTATAAACTCCCAGTCTAAGGTATTTGTTATAGAAGCCTGAATGGATTAAGGCTAATATGGAAAGATAGAAAATAGGAAAAACTTTGATTTTAGACAATTTTATTAAGTAGGACTAGAACTTTGAAGTGAGTGGGAGTAACTACATGGGAATCATACAGAGGAGCAGGGACAGTGGAAACACTGGAACTCCATCTCCAGAGGAGAAAGGTATAAAGAGAGCAGAGGAGAGAGTTCAGGGGACAGCCTCAGTCTTAAGGAATAGGAAGGAGAAAAAGCAAAGTTAATGGAAAGGCTGTGGTCTAAGTGACAGCGGTTATGGAAAAAGCATAATTTTACCATTTATTAGTACAAAGTGTTCCATTTTCTCAGTATGGATTTTAGACTAAATCTAAAGAATTATAAAGAAGCAATGGAGTCTTTATGAGACAACGTTAGTACAAGACTGCAGTGGTCCCCAGAGGATGCTTTTCATGGCTAGATTAATGCACCAAGGTCTAAGTTAACAATCTGCAGGTGAAATGACTTTTTAAATCAGAAGTAATTAAATCAAATGTCCAATATCCCTACTCTTCTCACATTCTTGTTTTCCATTCAGAAAGTAGGTAAAAAACAGTTTATTCCTGTTTGACATACACTTTTTTCAGTGATGTTAAAAATTATCTTCTTGGACAGTAATTCCTATCATTSAGAGTGGTGGAAATAAAGGCACAATATGATGTGATCAATCAAGATGGCGTCACTGCTCACCCTGAAAACAGTAGATCCAGAGGAGGTTCATGCCTTCTGGCTGGAGCTCCTCCTCAGAAACAAGGTGCAAAACCAGCAACGACACAAAAATGATCTTTCAAACCTCAAGGTGCTTTGAAACCAGGTAGAATGTAGTCAGTCTCTAATGAAAGGCCACTAAGAATATAGGAACTTTCTGGAACTACTGTGTTTATTTTAAACTTACACATTCTGCTGGCTTGCAGTTTTTTTTTTTTAATATACATAACAACTTGCTTCCTATACCCTTATCTGCCTGTTCTCTCCATCATCATCATCATCATCATCTCATATTAATGAAAATTAATAATGTTCTAGTAAATTGAGCTGGACCAGTGTACATTACTGCATACAATCTTTATAAAATCCCCACACTTGACATAGAAAACAATTCTCAATTTTTGATCCTTGAAAATGTAATCAAGAGCAAAATCCAGCATTCTGGATGGCAAAGCTAAAAGTACACCTGGTAGTTCTTAAAAGGACCAGTAGGGTCAGCATCAAGAAAAGCTCTGTTCTTACCTATCACACCCTTCATCGATATCTTGACAATCACACAAACAAGCAGCCACGTGGTTCTTTTCCCCATTTCTATCTATGTATTCGCAGCAGCACAGGGGCTCCAATTCAGGTTCTTCGGTTTTCTTTTTTTTCACTGGCTTCATACTGACTGCCCTTCTGTGCTGTGATTTGCACCTGTCACCATGAGATGTAAGCAGCCCTCAAAAGGTAAAGGTGGAAAGACTCCAATTCATATCTTGTAAATACATCCACGCCTCTCTCTCTGATGAACACCAACGCCTGAATAATCAAAAATGAGAAGAAAGTGGGGGAGGGGTCCCAATTTCATCAAGCTTTTGTGGCTTCATATGGTCAGACAGGGGGCTCCGAGGATCTTAGGGCTCCAAGCTGCTTCACCACCCCTTCCCATCTGGGGCAGGCGCCGTCAGGGCACAAGACGTTCTCATGGCGACAGCCGACCACGCGGCCCGGGACATCCCCGGCGAGGGCGGTAGAGTTCACCTGCGGAGCTGGCCGGGAAGGGCCGAGCGGTCCCCGCCCCAAGGCTGGGTGCTGTGGAAACTCACCCCCGGGGGTGCAGGAAACAGCAAAGCGTACGCTTGCTAGTGCCAGCTAATGCGCCCCAATGCTGGAGCCGCCAACCGCCTGGGGGAACGCTACAAGGTTCCCCTGCAGCCCCGAGGTCGCCGTCCAGCCTCCCGCGGAGCGCGTCTCCACCTCCACAGTCAAACTGGAGGACGTGGGCGGGCCTCTAGCGCCGCCCCGCTCGGAGAATGACCTTGGAAGGGAAGTTACCTGCTCTCCCGACGGAGGTGCGGCTGCAGGAAAAGAGGCGGAGACCGAATGGGAAAGCCTCTGCTCCACCACAGGCGCGGAAGCGTCTCTGAATTTCGACTCTGTGGGGCTCCTTGCGTGACGGCTAGAGTCTGGGACCCCGGCTCCGCTCGGCCGTGCCCACGCCGCAGCTGCCCACCTGTGAGCACAGCCTGCAGGGGGCCCGGGCGGCGCCTCCCTGAGCCGTCCCCGCCGGCCCGGCTCGGCGCGGCAAGTCCGCGCGCGCTTCCGGGTGCCCCGCCCCCGGCGCCGGGGATCCCCGCCCGCCCGCACGTGCGCCGCCCGCCGCCCCGCGAGCCCGCCGGCGAAGCCCCACCCCGCGCCGGACCAGAGGGCTGGTTCCCGGAGCCCGTCCGAGCGGCAGAGGTGCGGGGCGGTCAAGGTAACCGCGCGCGCCCGAGCATCACGGCTGCCTGCGGGCGGCGCGTCGGCGGGGCAGCCTCCCGAGCCTTCGGGGTGTGGACGGGGTGCGGAGTCGGAAATACTGGGAACCCAGAGGATTTCAGAACTACGTGAGACAGTGGGTCCGGCAGCCTTTTTTCTGACGCCGGCAACGGGCATTGGGGGCGAGCAGCGCAAATGTTACCGAGGTACCTCCCTCATTTTCCGGGACCTTCCCTTAAAGGCCCATCGCTGCTCCCAGATCTGTTGATTTATCCAACTTGTTCATTCTCATGATATGTGGCCAGCAGTCTGCATTCGACCAGCAGGCCTCTCCAGTACTTCTGTTCCAGTAGTCTGAGTATTTGATATGAAATTACCCTGAGATAAGAGATCTCTCGGGTTTTGTTTTGCACTGAATTTTTAAGTGTTGGCCCATGTATACGTTTTCACTACATCGGGCATTCTGGATGTTTTGCTTTTGTTTTTAAACAGAAAATGAAGAAAAATTACAACTCAGACATTTCAGGTTTTATTTATTTTCAGTTTACATAGCAGGTTCAAATTTTATGAATTAAATTTTGACTTTATAGTCTTAATTTATAAAGCAACTTTGGTAATCTTCTTTGAGGTATGTTATTAAAGTATACGTTTTAAAGCAACCATCAAAATATTGTTTGTCAAATGACTTCCCAGACTTTTCCTACCTCCTGGAAAAATGTCTGATTTCAAGTAAACTCACGAAGTCCTTATTTTCACGAATTACTTGTATTGACATAAATGCCTAAAAACTTTTTATGGAAGAGCCCAAGATTGTCTAACAGCTTCAATCAGTTAAGTTGTATTGGGACATAAATGCTCCACAAGTATTTTATTAAAGAGCTAAATTTTGTGTCTGGTTTATAACTTACCAACTAAAATAAGCCCCTCCCGCTACCAAACACACAGAAGCCATAAGTGGTTACTAAATGGTAATACACAGATTATTTTCAACCAGACAAGTCACTTCCTCCATGATAGACTGCTAAGCTGAACCCAAGCTTAGTTCAAGTATGCATTTGATCTGTCATTAAATGCCCAGATTTTAACATCATCTGGTTTTTTAAACCCAGGGGATGGCTCTTTATTTTGAGCATTTGTGTCCTACATATTTCCTTTTCCTAAATTGCCTCTTATGCCATTTGATGCATAAAGAGGCAAGATAATCTCACCTCTGCTACCTTAATAAAAAATAACTCTTTCATAAAGATACAACATGGCTAAGGAACCTTTCTGATAATAACCATCAACATGCAGATTCAAAGGTTTGACCACTGAATTTGCATGCCAAATAAATGGAGATATTGTAATATTTTACACAAAATCAGAAATGTCCTGTATGCCTGAAAACTGATCCTTTAATATTAGTAATGACTTAGAGGTTTCTATATTATCTTCTTTAGTCTCTTAAGCTTATCTCAACTGTGAAAGCAGTCTACTGGACACTTATTGGTTCTGTGCTAACAGATAAATTTAAAGCATCAAACTTCCAAGCCTCAGTATAGAAAAGAGGCTGTACCATTCAATTCAGAGTGTCTGCTTTTCTCTTTTTTTCTTAATCACAGCATTTCAATTCCAGAATATATTTCATGGTTCACTGAAGAAGTTCACAGCTTAAAAACATGTTTTAGGAAATGAAAGGATAAATTTATAAGGCCATCAGAGAATAATTATCAAATAAATGTTATTAAAAAGAATTTCATATTAGGAATCCAAATAATATGAAAACGTGGAAATGTTCATATGACAATGAAAATCCTTCATCCTCTGACTTTCTTCCCAAGGTTTTCTATTAGTTCCAAGTATTTCTACAGTTTCAATCCATAGATCACTAGCTTTTGACGGCCATGCCAGTTTTGTTCTTATTTAGTAGATCGAAGGTTTTCTGAAGCATAATGAGTGAGCTCTTCAGCTGCAAACAAAATTAATTTTCAAAGTCAGATTTTTAAAATTCTTTGATTATTTTATGCCAGAACTTTACAATTAAATTCAATAGAGTTTTGTTTATACAAATAAAAACTGAATATAACACACTCAATTCTTTAGGATATCTGCTGTTTGCTACACAGTTCCCCTCATCAGCTGGAGTACTGCATTTTTTCCTACTACTTTATATTCTACTTTCCAATATGTCCATTAATCAAATTATCCCGAGTGAAAGGCTCATTTTCTTAAATGGTTTCTGAAATTGGACTGGTCACTTCACTATTCCTACACAATTTAAGTTCCACTGATGGGCCATTCCTTACTATTATGTTCATGTTCCTGTTCGAACATCTAAAACTTATACATACCCTCTGTCTCTATGGTTTTCCTTAATCATGTTGCTTCTAAACCCCCAGAACAATACCTTTACTACTTAACACTCTTGATGCTGAATTTTATACTTTTCTTAGTCTTTAACAATACACATGGATGTTGATTTCTCTAATAAAATTATAAACAACTTGGGACGAAGAATTATGTCTTATTCTTTCTTGTATTCACTCATTCATTCCACAAATATTTATTGCTTATCTATTACATGCTGATCACTATTCTAAGACTGAGTATAAATAAAATGACTCCCCACCTTCATGGAGCTTACAGACTAGTGAGGGTTACTAAAATGAATAGTCACATACATAAGTATAAACTTAGACATTTTATTTATTTATTTTTGTGGTGCTGGGGCTTGATTACGTAAGCACTATATCACTAAGTTATATCTTCAGCCCTACTTTATCACATTTTTAACATGAGTAATTAGAGGAAAATAGTATTTTCTGAAATGAGGTTCACTAGAAGGGAATTGAGTTTTGTTCTGATTGATTTGCAATGCCCATTAAGTCGTTAGGGTAAAGCTCAGGAAAGGGGGTCAGAGTAGGAAATACAGATATTGGGTTTGCTTCAGCTTGACTATATCACCTCCAAAATTCATGTTAAAACTTAATCCCCAAAGCAACAATATTAACAGATGTTAGAGGGTGATTAGGTCATGAAGACTGCCTTCAGAGACAGAGTAGTGCCCTTATAAAAGGGCTGAAGGAAACTAGCTAGGTCCTTACACTTAGATGGCACCGTTTATGAGCAATAACCCTCAGACACTGAACCTGCCTATTCCTTTATCTTGAATTTCTCAGCTTATGGAACTGTGAGAAAGTTCTGTTATTTATAAACTATCCAGTCTCAGGTATTTTGTCATAGCAGCACAAGAGAGTAAGGAAGGAGTCAGAAGCTAATGTGATTATTTAAAGTTAGGGGAGTGGATGAGAACACCTAAAGGGAAAGTAATGGAGAAGGAAAGAGAATCTATCACAGAGCTCTAAAACATTTGGGCCAGGAAGAAGTGAGTATAAGAGTTGGTTTTGACCAACAAAAAGTAGCTTTACATTATTCTAACTGAAAGAAGACAGAAAATAATACATATTATATAAGCCATTTATATGAAATGTCCGAAATAGGCAAACCCATAGTAATGAAAACAGATTGGTGTGTGCCAGGGGGGTGACTGCTAATGTGTACAAGGTTTTCTTTGGGGGTGATGACAATGCTTAGGAATTAGATGGTGGTGATAGTTATACAGACTTGTGAATATAATAAACATTCTTTAAAAGGGCGAATTTATATTACTTGAATTATGTCACAATGAAGCTTTTTATGGTTTTAGAGAAGGCAAAATTAGCTATATTTCAAGAAAGGTGTGGTCAGTTTCAAATAGTGCTGACACTTTATAAGATGAAGACTTTTTAAGAAGACATAATTTTTACATGCTAAAGATCACAGAAAACCTTATCTCAAACAATATCCATAAAAGGAATAACAGGGAGAGAAAATGCATACATTCTACTTGCACCCTCTTCAAACCCTACTAAAAGTACAATAAAGGAATTTTCTTCCTCCTTTCTTGTTTTTTTCTTTTCCTTTTTTAGTGGGGATTAAACACAGGGGCAGTCATCACTGAGCTATATTTCCAACCCTTTTTTAAAATTTTGAGATAGGATCTCACTAAATTTCCAGGTAAGCATCAAATTTGATATCCTCCTGTCTCAGCCTCCCAAGGAGCTGGGATTATAGGCCAGGCTTGTGCCACTCTATGTGCCACACCTTTCAGAGGCACTACTAGAGAATGTGCTCCATTAAAAGGAGAATGCAGGGCCTGGAGATACAGCTCAGCCACAGAGCACTTGCCTAGCAGGCGCAAGGCCCTGGGTTCAGTCTCTAGCACAAAAAAAGAAAAAGAAAAAAAGCCAAGAAAGGAAAACATGGGACCTGGAAAGCTAGGAGACAGACAACAGAAATCCCCAGGAGGACAGCTGTACACCAGATACAGGATCACCAGACCTGACTAGAGTTAGTCAGAAGGCTCCATCAGTAGAATACCTGAGTAAATAAAGATTTTGAGAAGAGATCTGTAAACAGAATTAGGAGATGAAATGCTTATAAGTAATACTGATAAACTAATCAAAGGTAGTTATGGTTTAATTTTATGGCTCTCATCTTGGAATAGCAAACTTGGTCAAAACAGCAAATACTGAGTATTCTTCTAACCAAAATTATAACTTCACTGGAAAGATAATAGAAATTTGAAATGTATGTGTGGTGGGTGGGAGGTAGGAAAGAAAACCAAAACCTTGTTTTCCATAAAAGAAAGTTAAAAGATAATGTCTAAAACTGAAAAAAAATCAAGAATTAACAATACGTGGTTGTTGACAAATATGGATGTAAGCAAAAGAATGAACTGAAAGAGTTACATATGAACTTCAGGAAAGAAATGGGGGAAAGAATACTGAGATTACCACTCTTCTGAATAAGCCTTGTAGAACAAGTTAATTCTTTATGTGAAGTGATTTTTGATGAAAATAAAAATTGAAAAATGAAATATAAAGTATGACAGCCGAAATGCCTGACCATGAAAAGAAGTAGATATAAAGGGGTAGAAAACCAATGTGGGTAAAGCAGGTTTGTTAATGCAGAAGATAACAGAGCAGAGTTAAGTGCTGATGGTCAAGATCTATTCGATGAGGGAGAATGAAAATGGAGAGGTAATCCCAGCTACTCAGGAGGCTGAAGCAGGAGGATTAGCAAGACATTGTAGTAAGATAACAAGGGAACGAATGAAGGAAGGTGTGGAGAAGCTAGAGAAGTGATGGATGAAGTCACCCACTAACACACACTGGAACTTTACCTCCCATAGGTGGAGGAGTGTTTCTAAAATTAGTCAAGAAGAGAATGGGGGTGCAAGGATAGGATAATTTATAGATTGATTATTGAAGGAGGAGGGAAAGTTTCTCTTTTCTCCATATGGCACAGTCATCAATTGAGAGGGAAAATGGGAGGAGAGGGCAAGGGGAGAAGGACACCATCTGTCCTTGCTGAGGGTGGAAGGAAAGTCACTAAGGAACTAGGTACAGCACATCTGAGAAGCACCAAGTTGAAGCTGTAACCTTAGTGCCCACATGAAAGTCCAAGAACTATAACTGAATATTCTTAAGAAAAAATACATATATATACATAGAAGAAAGGGACAGAAGGGGCTGTGGTTGTGGCTTAGAGGTAGAGTGTTCGCCTACCATGCATGAGGCACCAGGTTTGATCCTCAGCACCACATAAAAATAAAATAAAGATATTGTGTCCACTTATAACTAAAAAATAAATATTTTTTTAAAAAAGAAAGGGACAGAAGGAAATGAACTATTAACAGTAATTGTATCTGAATGTTAAAACTATATATTCTCTTGTAATACTCTCTATTTTTTAATTTTGAAAAGTGAGTGTGTTATAGTCATAATGGAAATATTAATCTTCACTTTTCAAAGGAAATTCTAAGTCTAGTTCATAGAACTAACTAGCACATACTGGTGAGACCATGTTCAAGAGAGGACAATAACAAAATAATGAAATTACCTAAGTATTCACTTTAATGAAAAACTGGTAAAATAATTATGTCACATTTATACAGTTGAACCCTATGCAGCTATTAAAAGAACAGGAAATGCTTTATATAGTGACACAGAAGTATCACTAAGATATATCATTCATACATAAAGGAAAAATAATGCAGAGTGTATATAGGAGCTACCACTTATATAAAAATTTAATTTTAAGCATAAAATTTTATCTAGAAGACCAGTAAAAAGAACGAAGTAGATAGATATATACATACTGATATATACAAACATTTTCAAAATCTATTACTAATTTTAAAAAGAGGATACTCAACAATGTGTATACTATGTTCCCAGTTTTGCAAGAATAACACAATGGCTACATACATAATATGTATAATGCAGAAATTTTCCTCAAATTATAGTATAGGAAATATTCTCTCATAACCACAGCAACTGCTTCACACTGGTATGAAGGTATTAAGTACTTTGGTACAGACATTTGCCTACCTGTTCAAGCATCACTATGGAATCTCGGAGTACTCCTTTTAAATGATGAGCCTGATCTTTGTTCTTTTTAATGTTTTCAGTTCTTGAGACAATATCAGAGACTAGACTGAAAGAAAAATAACATCCCAAATCAAGAGAATAGCTTCTGAACTTTCATTTCCAAAAACTGTCAGTGCCCCATACATTGCAAATAAAATACAAAAGTAAACAAACAAACAAACAAAAAAAGCTAATTATGACTACAGAGTAATGAGGAGACCAGAATTTTTAAGACTGGAATTAGATTTTTCTACAACTAAAGAACTGCTGAAATAATATGGTGAAAACAGGCTGGGGAGTGGGATGACACTTACTTTAAAGATTTCTCTTCTCGGAGGTGGAGCCGGTAAAAGGACTGAGCAGCATATTCTACCTTTGACAGCTTCAGAAACAGTGTGACATTCAACAAAACTAGCAACAGCAAACTAAACAGAACAAACCATACCTGGTTAATCCATACTTACACCTCAAGCATTGCTAGTACACAATATATATGCAAAAGCCTCAAAAAATGTGTATTTCTAAGACTTATTTGCTAATCACTTAAATAAATCATCCCTATTTTATTGTGTTAAATAATTACTTTTAAATATTAAGTGAACATTGGGGAAATTGGAGGGTAACTAGAGTAACAATAAAAGTATTTAGATAACTCCAACTCACAGGTTGGAATTATATCTGACATCTCTCCTCTCTGCTTGGAATCCCAGCCAGTATTGATATGTGACCACCAGCTTAGAAATCTACCAGGTAAGCTTTCAGGATGTATTTTTGGGTACTTTGGCTTAAGCAATTATACACCCATAATGCTGCATTTCAAAAAAGGAAATGAAGATCGATATGCAGCTGATCTTAGGTGGATAATGATCTATCTCTTTATTCCCAGTGGAACCAAAAAGAAAAACTAAATAAACAATTACCATTTAGCAAAACTTTCCTCTTGTTCATCCTGGAAAAAGGAAGTATCAAATACCCAGTATACAATAATGTTGTCAAATATAAAATGTTATGTGTTAAATATACTTAATGTATTGGTATTCATAGCAACCTTTCAAGTGAATGAATACATATCTTATTACACATATATGCAAATATATAGATGACACCATATCTACTTTTTTTCTGTTAAAGCAATGACTTGACATTAAAAACATATAATGGAAGTTTGTGATATAGTTCAGTGGTAGATCCTCAGCACCACAAAAATAAAAAATAATTCACTTTTACCCTTCAAGAAAATTATTTAAGAAAAAGAAATTTAAAGGTAGCAAGAAAATAAATCTATAAAATTATTATGACATTGAAATTATAAAGGGATCAATATTTCAATATTTGACTATAAATTTTCTGCAAAGTAATGCAAAATAACATTGATAATATTTGCCATTCATTATTGTCATAGAAAGTCAATTTAAGCAAAATATGATAGCATTTTATAAAACTCAAAGGAATAACAATATTTACTGTTTTGAAATCTATAATAAGAAAAATAATTAATATAAAAGCTTCATTCCAAAAAATTATCACCCAGAGTGTATCACTGAGTCAGAACCAATTCAATCAATTTAAAGGACTATCTCAAGATTCATATAGACCCATGTAGATATTAGTTCTCTAAATATAAATGGTTAAGCAGGTTCCTAGAGTGTACCCTGAGATTCAAATGCATACACACACACACACACACACACACACACACACACGCATATATACATAAACACATCACTATGTGATGCTCAGATTACTTGTGTTGGAATAACCTGGGGAGTGTGCTTTAAAATACTGATTATTGATCCCTAGTAGAGATCTACCCAATCAATCTCTGGGACTAGGGCCAAGAAATTCACATTGTAACCAACTCCYCAAGTGATTCTTAAACACAGTATATGGTAAGAACTACTGACCTAATCAAATAGAGTAAAATAGTATCATTGAGACTTTACCAGCATGTACACATGTATAAGTATTCCTTTGAAATTTATGGAATTTCCCATAAAAACCCATAATAGTAGAAATGGATCTGATTTGTTTAAAAATTTTAAAAAATGTTTTTGAAATACATACTTGTATTCCTCCAAATTTAACTACTATGAAAATCATACATCAAAAACTACATACTGAAACCTATAAAATTGCTGGTTTTGTAGGCCACCATTGGTCAAATAGTAGTAATTTCAACCCAGTAATATACAAATGCATCCAAATTATTTGGGAAACTAGTTAAAAGTAAATGAAGACACAAATAAAATGAGCATTCACAACAAATACTTACAAAATACTCATCACCACAATAAGAGCATTGTTACAGGTGTTCATTTTCTTTCCTGAAGATCACAAGAAAAAGGCTGCATTAGAGTGAAGATTGTGATTACAACTGATAAAAATTTAATGTTCATTTGAAAATTGAAAAAGAAATTTTAAAAGTTATAAGATAAAGTGATTTAGGGTAGTTTCCCTGTGCCTCTTTTTTTGATTTCTTGTATCCTGTGTAAGGCAGAAAAAAATCTACAAAGAAAAACCTACAGCAATTCTTCAAATTTGGGGTATATTACAAATTAATTTACTCTAAAATTAAGCAATTCATTATAGCATGTGTGATATATAGCTAAGTACTAAAAAAATAATATGTGAGCTGGATTTATGTACAGAGATTCCTTCCTTTTTTAAAAAAATCATTCTCATCTATTCACTGTTGCCTACACTTTTAAATTCCAAAATTAAAGAGCCATTAATCTTAAATAGTGTTAAACATTCACACTAAGGTATAAGCCTAAAGAGGATTTGATAATGTAGGAGAATGAGAGGTATGACAATTTTATAATGCTGAGAAGGCAGAAGTAGCAAAATGTCTTCAAAATTGAGAGTGGGGATAATAAAAGTCAGTTCCATCTTTGAAACTTTCCTAAACTGGCCCTGACAGTACATAAGAACAGTCTTCTCAAAGATAGAAATCAAATGAGTGAAGTGATCCAGAAGACAGGAGAAGCTATTGTGGTGGGACTGTGGCCAGCAGAGGAACACACGCATCTGAAGGGGCAGCAAGGAGGAAGCTGTAACCAACTGCTGCTGTGAAGGGTTGTCAGATCTGAGTTTTTGAATAAAAATGTCCAATTTTTAAAATGCTGTGTGGGCTAAATAGAATACTTTTGGCCATATACCTGCCATTTTAATAACTGCTCCTTTATGCTTTAGTATTTGTTATCTTTAAGGAACTCAAGAGTGTGATAAACATTATCAAAATGATAGGGAAGAAAGACAGACATCCTGACATACAAACAAGGGAGACCTTCTGCTTTCTATAACTGAGCTAAAGTCCTTCATCTGTTCACCAACAACAGCTACCTGTAACATCCCCTTTGGTCTCTAAGCCCATATCTCCAGAAGAATGCTGAGAAGAAAGCTTAGGAACTGTTTCTGCTGTTCGGTTGAAAGTTCGCCTTCTCCTCCGCAGGCAGCTAAGTTTTCCAGGGTCTTCAATAGATTGATTTAACGAAGATTCTTCCATTAACAAATCTGATTCTAAGAAGGAAAACAAAATCTTTAAATACAGGGAAACCTTCTCAACTATAAGATAGTAGGGTTTTTTAAAGATTTAACTATCTGTTAGATTCTGATGGCCTAGATTCAAACTTTATTCTTAATGAAAAGCTTTAGAGAGTATGATGACCCCATAATGAGGTTTTATTTTTCTAGGAAGAATGTGTATTAATAAATGATGGGATCATCAATGCCAATTTGCCATGTGTTATATTAAATATTAATGTAATGGTTTCAGTTATGGAAACAACAGGCCACCCACTTACAATGGATCATTAGAAAAATCTCCAAAATAGGCTAAGGTACTTGTCAACCTCAAAGGAAGGACTAGCATATAATAGTTTTAATTTTCAATGAGGGTTTGCAAGAAAGGAAGCACAAGTAAAAAAAAAATCTAAACAAGCTGAAATCCTCATTTTTGTTATTTCTTTCAACCTTTTCCTTCACAAGATTTTTTTAAATTAGCTCATTATTCAGTGACCAAAATAATTTTTGAGTTTTATTTTCTCTGCTTCTGATGAGAAGTTTACTAATGAAATAGTCAAAGAGAATAAGGCCAGGAAAATAATCAACAAAACTAAATGATACTATGAAATGAATGAACTCCAGTTTTTCCTCAATTAAAATTACATTCATATATATATAAAAACATCCAAACAGAATAGCTGTATCACTTCCCCAGTCACTCCTTAGTACCTACCTCCACCAAATCTATACATGTATATAACACCATTGCTAAGTGGGCCTCCACAAGTCCAGGAAACCTTCCACAAAGAAGAAAGTTGTGGGCCTAAGGACTTTCCAGATCTTAGAGAGCACAGGGTATATCTGTGACCTGATCACATAATCCCCTCTCTGTATTCATCTTTCTTGGTTCCTTGCAGAGGCAGGGGTTGTGATAGCTCTTCACTGTATAATACTGGACAAGTCACTTAACCATACCATGTTTCAATTTCCTCTATACTAAAGTGGAAAAGCATAATCATTCCTATTTGCAGGGCTGGATGAGTATGAAATGAGTTAGTATTTATAAAGTACAAAAAAATTTATTATATATCTGGCATTAATAAACATTATGTAAGTGTTTGATAGACCATTAAAAATCTGAAGTTTTGAAATCCCATAGAGATAGAGCAAGTAGGGGATTTTGAACCACTTTAGTGAATCATTCCCACCATCATCTATTGTCTCCTGCTATGAATCCAAATGAAGAAGCAATTTATCTTATTAATAAGTGCTACCTTTACAGAAATAGATGCATCAAAAACTTTACAAACCAAGCTGTTTAAAATACTGCTCCAACGAACTCCAGGAATTCTTTTCAATTAAAGATTTGACAAGTCCCCATGGTTGTTTTCTGTATTTCAAATCTGTGGAAACTCTAATAGGATAAGAAGGAAAAATATTTATTTAAGGTCATGCTATAGTTATATTAATATTATAATTAAATGAAAGATTATATTCAGTGGAAAGCCAAAAGGATTCAAAGTCATTAAGATTTTAAAAGAAAATTTGTTCACTAATAATGCCTTCAAAAAACTACTGGATTGTTAATAATTTCATCAAATTCTCCTTTTAAATACTTGCTATTATATTTCTTTCCTTTCTCTAATCCTGAGTTTTTCTTACTTATATAGCAATCATGGCTCCAAATAAATGCTAAATTTTCTTCATGCCTTGTATGAAATTTCTAGTGGTCACATATTTGTTAAGAGTAACCACATTAATTAGGACTAGGCCAGGCATATGATAGCTCATCACACTTCAATGCACCAATCCTCACTTCCCACTGCAGCCAGTTACTGCTCACCATCTGCTCCCCCAGAACTCCCAGCCCCCTTGCCCTAAAATAAGGTCATGGGATGAGTTCAGGGCAATGGACTGTGAGCTCAATTCTATAGCTTTCTCTTTCTATAGCAACTGAAATGACACTTATGGATTGTGTGGCTGTAGGATGTTAAAGCTGTTATCAATTGGAGTCCTGGGTAAAGAGCCCCACCCCTCTTCTGATCTCTGAGGATATATAATTTAAGCAAGAAATAAAGCTTCATTGTGTAAACCTAAAAATTCAGGGTTAAAATGTTACCAGAGCATAATTTAGCCTACTCTGACTATACACTCATTGATGATAGCTCACCTTAGCCTGCATTTCTGTTTTGAAGATGGGATGATACAGTATCTGTTCAGTGTATAGAAGTAATCATGGTAGGGGACATCATGTGTCAGTACTTCTGAATCTATTAAATAAAATTGTGCTTCTCGACTTTCTTTATACAGTGTCTGCCAAAATAAGATTTTAAAAATGTTGGCATGTACATTTTAACAATTTTATAAGTTTTTTTGGCGATTTAGAACATATATACTAGAATTCCTTCCCAGAAGTTACAAAAGACATGAGAAATCTATATACCAAGCTAGAAGAACCTCCACGTTGGCTGTGGCATCTATGAAGTGAGAAGGGGCCCACAGAAATAGAGTTAATGTCCCACTGTCATTTCACTATACAATTAATTTTTTATTTTAGGCATGAGGAGGGAAAAGGAACCATATAATCTCTTGAATGTTTCTTAGTTTATAAGAAGTTTTAAATCTTTGCATTGGAGAACATTCAAAAATCAACTGAATAATACAAAAATTCATCAAAAATAATACAAAATTTATCAAAGTTTAACCAACCCACCCTTCACCCAAATAGCAAAGGCAAACAAAAAATATTGCTTTTGTTATACCAGATTTAAAGTGGCTGTCAGATAAACCTTCCTCATTTTAACCATATCTTTTCTACCTATCCTCTAAGAGGGGAAAATGAGGTTTCCAAGGTTATTAAAGATTCCCTGATACAAAAATACCAAACTTTTCTTATATGTTTGACAATATTTTAAAAAATTTAAAAGGTAATGAACAAAACTGCAAAAGCATAGATTATAATGAGTATTTGCAAAACAGGTACATTACACTTAAACATAAGTTGCCAATACTGTCATAATTGATTACAGTATTGATTACTCCAAGATAGTGCTAAACTGGTCATTAAATAGCTTATATTTGGTTTCTTTCCCATGTTTCACAATAGCCATCTAGTTATTTGGTACTAAGTTTTGACATGATTCTGCAAGTTGGATTTTAGAAGTGCTCTTTTTAAAATATTTTATTATGAAAAATTGTTAACACAGTAGAAGAAATGAAGTATAATGAGCCCTCATGAGCTCATCAACCAACTTTAATAACATTATCTACTGCCCAATATTTTTTTATCTGTACCCAACTCCCACATTCCCTCCTTCTACCACCATTTTTTTGCCTGGCTAGATTAGTTTTAAAAGAATCTCAGGCATCAATATACTTTCATTCATAAATATCTCAGCATATCTCTTTTACACACACACACACACACAGACACACACACACACATATATCAGTATATTTCATTTAAAACACAGCTACAGTGCCATTATTATGTATAACAAGTTAATAATTCTTTTTAACAGGTAGTTTATTTAATTAAGTTTGGATTAATATGGTTTATATGCCTGGTAAATCTCTTGTAACCTCCAACAGTCCCCCTTCCTTTTTTTTCTCCATTTTTTTTTTTTTGTAGAAATTATCTTGTAAATTGGTGACTATGGTAGACAGGTTCTCTCTCATCACACACACGATTCTTTCAGAATACTGACAGGATAGGCATACCTGCTTTTCAGTGGCAGCAGTGCACTTTCTAGTAAGTGGATTATTAAGGACTATAGTGTAGGTCATGTTTCTCAGTTGATCACCTCCAGATTCTACAGTCCAAGGAGTAGACACTACATCTAGTCATGGGAAACATAAAACATGTTAGCTCTAGAAATTTGAAGTGCATGACTTTAAATAGAATCAAAAGTATTATTTTAGAATTATTTTTTTAAAAATGGTTTGCTTTTGCATTTTGTTCCTACAGTGTGGGAGACCAAACTTAGGGGCTAGCACATGTTAAACAAGTACTCTACCACTGAGCTATAACCATCAGCCCTAAATTTTTATTTTTGACCAATCCTGAGCCCCTTATAATTATGTATGTTCAATGCTGAAGAAAAAGAAATTAGCTGGGCATGGTGGAGCACACATGTCACCTCGGCTGCTCAGGAGACTAAAGCAGGAACTTCTCAAGTTCAAGGCCAGCCTGGTCAACTTAGTGAGATCCTGTCTCAAAACAAAAAGGACTACGGATGTAACTCAGTGGTAGAATACCCTGAATTCAACCCCAATGCCAGAAAAAAAGAAAAAAGAAAGGAAGGAAGGAAGGTGGGGAGAGAGGGAGAGATTAAACATTAGATAGTCTTACATGTTACATATACATGTGTTTGATCTACTTATTCCTAAACTGTTTCTTATTAATACACTTTTTCTTTTTTTTAGAAGATAAAATTAAAAGTTGGTTTAGCTGTAAGCTTCTCTTTAAAGTCCCTAGTACCTATGGACAAAAGTAATGGCAACAACCTTATCAAACAGAACAACACTTCAGTATACTATCATTGAGGACAAAACTTTAGAAGACATTTATTTTTATAACAATATGACCTTGATAACCCCTTGTAAAGAAATCATGTCAACATCATGAGAAGTCAGAAAATTAGCAGTTTGTCTACAACATCTTCAATCAAGATAAGGCAATAGGATGAAAAATGATTACATTCTATATAAACTTTTTTATATTAACAGGGCTATAGGAACATCTCCATATTTTTAACAGGATCTTGGTCAGAGTTCTTTTTATTTACTGAGGAACAGCACAGTAAGTGAAAATACACTTTGAAGAGAAATGTAGCTCTAGATTACAGCACCATACAATTAGTTAAGTACAGATAAAAGCAGTATGGACTCTATTCAAAGACCTGACACCTGATGGCACAAGGACAAATGGACTTGGGCAATAACTCAGTATGTTTTGCTGCTATTCATCAGCATTCTAAAGTTTAGGAGCCTTTATCTAACCTATTATCCATCATAAAAAAAAATGAAGCAAAGATTTATGATATAGTCAATTTTACTTAATTTCTTTTATACAGCTAGGCCTAGAGTTTAATTATGGACCATGAAGCTGTTCTTGAGTATCTGGCAAAACCTTATAACTAAATTAAAAAGGCAACATCATGAACCATAAAATCTTTATCCAGGATTTGCTGAAAAAAGGATTTATTTGGGTGTTCATAAAAGAAGATATACAATTAATTCTAAAATACTGTTTCGGAAGATTGCTTTGGTCATGTCAGCCTGTTTCAGGAAAATGACATGAATAATCAATTGCATATCAAAATTGAAAGATATCATTGATTTCTGATATTTAAATTGTATACTATTCAATGAAACAATAAACAAGAATAAAAGAAAAATATCTATTTTCCCCTGTATGTTATGTTTGCATTTTTAACAATGTTACCAACAAGATGTACTAAATATCATTTGCCAGACATCACATAATTAACATCATATTAGAAATAAGTCCTCTAATATCTAAATAAGGTTCATGATAATATAAAAAAAATACTAGAATGAAATTATAAGAAAAGTGGCAATAGTGTACAAAAGGACACATGAGTCATCTGATGTACTGAGTTAAAGTAATAAAGAACAGAGCAGGGATTGTAGAACAAACACTTTAAATTTTTAATTTAAATATTTAATTTAAATATTTAAACTGGTGAAACATAACACCCATTAGGATCCTTATTATTTTTTCTTTTTTATTTATATATGACAGTGGAATGCATTACAATTCTGATTATACATAGAGAGCACAGGATCCTTATTATTTTTAAAAAATAGAAAATAACAAGTGTTGGTGAGGATGCGGAGAAACCAGAACCTCTGGCCACTACTGGTGGGAATGGAAAATGGTATGATTATTATGGAAAACAGTGTGCTCTTTCTCAAAAAATTAAACATAGAGTTATCTTATGATGTAACAACTCCACTTGTAAGTATATACCCAAAAGAACTGAAGGCAGGGACTATACATCAGTATTCACAGCAGCATTATTCATAGTAGCCAAAAAAATGTAAATGACCAAATGTCATTAGCAGATGAATGAATAAACAGAATGTACTACTGTGTATGCATACAATGAAATATTATTCTTCCTTAAAAAGTTATAAAATTCTGACACATGCTACAACATGGATGAATAAACTTTGAAGGCATGCTAACTGAAATAAGCCCATCATTTAAGGACAAATATTGTATGATTCCACTTACACAAGGTACCTAGAATAGCTAAACTCAGAGACAGAAAATATAATGGAGGTCACCAGGAACAAAGGGAAAGGAAAAACAGAAGGTTATTATTTAATAGGTTCAGAGCTTGTTTGGGATAATGAAGTTCTGAAAATGAATGGTGATAATGTTTCTGCAACAATATGAATGTACTAAATGCCTCTGAACTGTACACCTAAAAATGGGTCTTATGTATATTTTATCATAATTTTTAAAATTTATAAATCTAGGTAGAGGGTATATGGATGTTATTATACATGCAAATTCTTTTACATTTTCAAAATGAAAAATTTGGATAAAAGTACTGAAAGCTGAGTTTTTAATTACAGGTAGTGTCACACAACTGTAAATTAAGATTAAATAGAAGATCCACTTAAAAACTCCTTGATTTTTTAAAAGATATCCAGTAGTGGCCATTTCAATGCTGGAATTAGACTTAACCCACAAATAGTCAACTACACAAAAATATTAAATTTTTACATTTTTAAAAGATGCCTTTGAAACTCATTATTAAGAAATACAATTTGATTACCAGGTAAAAGATTCCAAGGACAGCAGTATGTTTTGCAGCCATGTGCAAATTGTCTTTTGAGGAAAAGTTTTTCCCTATAATCTTGCACTGTGCCTATAATTGTTCAGATTGTGATTATGTAGAAATCTTTGCTTCCAAAGCCATTTATAACATCAGATAGCAGATATAGTCATTCATATTGAAGCCAGGTATGATATCAGACAACAAATGTAATTGTGTTTCAAAACCTGAACTTCATTTAGTATAAAGCATGGAATAACATGCTAGTCCCTTTTGGGGTTTTTCAGCCATAAAAAAATGGCAGTGCAATGTCAATAGGCATCACTTAGAAAATTAAGGGAAATAATAAATCTGAGTCTTCTACTTTTCCAAGTAGAAATGAATAACAATAAAATATAAAATAAATTCCAAAGAGAGATAATAAGTTAAATATAAGATACTGAGTGAAGAGGAAGATTTATAACTCTCCAATAAGCCACACTTTTAAAAAAACACATTTTTAAAAACAAAAGAAAGTGATCTATTAAAACCATGAATCAATATAATCACAAGAGTCAATATCTATCAATTAGAAATATCTTTGCTATTCTAATGTGTATAAGAAAAAATTGATTTTTATATGTAGAAACAATATTGATAATATCATCTATGAATATATAATTATGTTTACATAAAAGTTTCAAATAAAGGAATAACATTTAGTGGTAAATAAAATCCATAGGTTAAAATTTTTATTTAAATTGATTATACAATAAGTTTCTCATAAGCAACTTACCTTATGTCAATCTCTGATGCTGCTACATTCTAATTCTATATAGCAAACTAAACCACTTACTCCAAAAATTAGTAAAGTATCTGGAAATGTTTAGGTTAAATTCATTTTTAAACTATAAGATATTTGAGATATTTACCTTGGCACATGATCATTGAAATCCTTCCAATTTCCTAAAAAACTTTATTTTTTTCACTAAAATATACTACAGACTATAATCTCAAATACATAGGTCCATGCTTTTCACAAAGGAAAGATATACATGTGCTCCACTCAGACTAAGATATAAAATTTCTACCAATATCCCAAAAGCTTCCTCCCAGTCTTTACCCACTGACTCTCCACAACTGAAATCACTATGTCAACTTCATAAGTTTATTTTGCCTGTTTTTAAACTTTATATAAAGAAATTATATACCATGTGTTCTTTTGTACCTGGTTTCTTAGCTTAACATTGTGTCTGAGGTTCCTTCATACTATTGTTTGCCATTGTTTTCATTAGTATATAGTATTATTCTATGGAAGCTTTTGGAATTTATATATTTTATTATTGATGGATATTTGGAAGGTTCTGAGTTTGGACTATTATAAATAAAGCTACTGTGAACACTACAGCAGATGTCATTCAGAGAACTCATGTGCCCATTTCTCAGGGGTGTACACCTAAGGAGTGGAATCTCTTGAGTTAGAGAATTCATAGCTTTAACAAACATTAGCAAACCATTTGGCAAAGTGGTTGTTCTAGTTTATATTCTACCAGAATCCAGTTGTTCCACAGTGGATGCCTTTGAACTAGATTCATCCCAACTGAATAGATACATAAGTGAATAAATATAGTTTTAGTTTTTAAAGGGTTTGAATTTATTTTAAGTAGCATCTGTCTAGTTAAACAATTAAACCATTCACGTGTGAATTTAACCCAACATTTAAAAACTAGTTTATATATCACCAAAATAATCAAAGCAGGTCTAATATTTTCCCCTGACATTATAAATCAGTTTATATATGCTAAACATTCTAAGGATAATAAATTTATCATTAGGAAAGAATACAAGGACCAACCTATTATATTTCTAGAACTGGAAAATCTCTGCATAAAGCGTGAACTAGTGAAGAGCAATTCAAACATCCTCTCAGCACTGATATGAAAAACTCGATTGATATAAAGTCTTCCTCGAAGATCTTTCTCAGGAAAATCTTCTAGAAAAACAAAAATATACACCAAAGAGAAGTTAAGAAAAGGTAATTTCAAGGAGTGTATGTATGGGTATATTCTTTGGGGCACAAAATGTTTTTTAAATGTGATTACAATGATCATTGCATTCTAGTACACTATCAAAACTCCAAATAGAAATAATATGTGCAATATATATATTTATGTAAACATAAGTATGTATATTTGACTACATATAATCAAATATTTTAATTATTAAAATCTAGAAAATGTAGGAATATTTTACTGGAATGATATCAAACTCTTGATACTCAAAAGAATATTTCATAAGTGATTAAAACAATATTGAGGGCTGGGGTTGTGGTGCAGTGGTAGAGCACTTGCCTAGCACATGTGAGGCCCTGGGTTCGATCCTCAGCACCACATAAAAATAAATAAATAAAGGTATTATGTCCAACTGCAGCTAAAAAATAAATATTAAAAAAAACAATATTGAGACACACAGCCATTAGTAGGTCCTATCTCTCCATACTCATACATTCAGTAAATATTTAGTCATCAATGGCTATAATATCTGCTATGCTCACTAGCTTGTCAGCCTGAATGATACAACCTGACTGCTAACTCCCCCAACACAAGGATCACTATAATCACAATAATACCAATACCACACATTAAAAGAATAGGTATACCCTCTGAAAAATACTCTTCAAAGCTAAACAATGCCCAATGGAACACATTTTTTTTCTAAGAACTAATGATGATGTTGAAAATTAGCAAGTAAAGAAAGTTATATTTGCTCACCTCTTCTCATGCTCCCTGGAAAAATTAGATAAAAATGGCCCATATTTACATGATATTTTCTATGTGTCAGAGGTACTAAGTACCTCTCACTGCATTCCTCTGAAAAAAGTGGTATCATCATCATCATCATTTCTATTTTACGAATGAGGAAATGTACACATAGAGAGAAGTGTCAGGGCTCCACTGACAAACCAGTGTCAGTGACTGGTTTGGAAACTGAACCCACTTCAGCTCTAGAGCACACAAGCATAACCTTTATTTTAGGCTGCCAGAAAGCATTTTGCTTCAAAGAATCAAAAAGAAAAAGACAGATAGGTATAAGAACTCTGTATAATAAAGAAAAAAGTGAAAAGGAATCCAACGTGAAAGTTTAATCATTTAAGGATAGGTATTACTTCTTATTTCAAGGGTTATGCTCCATCAATACAAAATAAAAATTATGACAAAAGCTCCCCATATTTCAGAAATCAAGCTCTGAGAATTACCTGTGCAAAGCACATGTCAATATTAATCCATGGGAACCAGTCCATTTAAATGAAAGGCAATGGCCTATGAATCAGAAAAAACTCCTGTAGCTCTAGTTTCACCTCCAACAATCACTATTTCTCCCTTATTGAATGATTTGTACCTCTCTATTTTGTTACAAGTGCAAAGAACTTAGGGACACACGGTAGATATTGACTTATCTTCACCCTGCAATAACACTATATGTCAGAAAAAATGATTCACTGCAATTTCAAATAATAGCTTTTTTGGTATAGGAACAAATCACTAAAATTAGGCAATCCACTGAGGTTTTATGAAGTAACTCCCCAATTAGGCTTGCAAAACAGCTTTTGCCCACATAGAAGTATTATTTGTTTATGCAAAAATAATTCAAGGGGCTGGGGATGTGGCTCAAGCGGTAGCGCGCTCGCCTGGCATGCGTGCGGCCCGGGTTCGATCCTCAGCACCACATACCAACAAAGATGTTGTGTCCGCCAATAACTGAAAAATAAATGTTAAAGTTTAAAAAAAATAAATAAATAATTCAAATACACAAAAAAAGCAAACTAGAGATAATTCTATTGATCCTGCCATTTCTTCACAGAACCTATCCTTATTTGTAATTAAACTTTTGGTGTCTTATTCACTTGCTTATTATCTCTCCTGTACTTTACTATATGTTCCATGTAAGTTGGGATAACGTCAGTTTTAAACTTTTACATTCAGTGTTTGACATATAAGAACTGTATTTTTGAATGCATAAATACAGAAAATGCTAGAAATATCTTAGGTTCTATTTTTGTATCCAGGACTTTTGAATTTGTAACCTCTAAAAAAATTTCTTATTTTATTTTGAGATATATAATTAATTAAACTATGATTTATCCCCCTTCCAGTAATGTCCTTTTTCTGTGTAAGAGTACAATCCAAAACACTACATTCCATTGGACTACTGAAGTTATTTTAATTTTTAGGTTATAATCTAATACTGTCACTATTTATTTTGTTCCTCAAATTATTTAACTATTTGATTTGGTCATTAGGAGCTCCTTCAGGTTGGTGCCTGTATTTTTTTGACATGTCCACCCTCTCCCACTTCCTTACTTTCTGGCACCACAATGTGCTCCAAGCTCATCTTCAATTTTCTCTGTTCTTAGAATCAGCTATTCTTCTAAGGATCCCTGGGACTATAACTTTTCAAAAATAAATTTCTTGGGGCTAGGGATGTAGAACACTTGCCTAGTACGTGTGAGACCCTAGATTCAATCCCAGCACCAAAAATGTAAGCCTCTTATTCATCTGTAAAAGGGGAAAATTGCACTCATGCATATTTCAGTACTGGTAATTGAACCCAGGGACACTCTGCCACTGAGCTACATACATTCCCAGCCCTTTTTTAAAAATAATTATTCTCAGACAGAATCTCACTATGTTGCTAAGGCTGGCCTTGAATTTGACATGTTCCTGCCTCAGCCTCCTGAGTTGCTGGGATTACAGGTGTGCACCACTGTGCCTGACTCAATACAATATTTCATATTTCTTTTAAATCCCATTTTTAGACAACAGATTCTGAATTACTATTAATAAAAATATAATTTGTTGTATGACTATAAGGAATGAACAACCATCTATTTTGTATGTAAATTTATTCAAGGGAGTAAGTAAATGAAATAAATTATTTCCACATGGGATTATTCATTTATGAAATTCATATACTTCAAAATCTCCTATCTGAATAACATCACCAATAGTATTGCTATAATATATTAAGCTAGAGGGGGTATTGCTCTATTCAGTAGAAGGTTACTATGGCCAATAAAGAAGAAATGGTATTTTAAACATATCAGTTTAAAAGTAGCCAGTGGAGAGTATGTAAAGTGAGACAAATAAATATAGGAGAAATGCATGAACATAAATGAAACTGAAAATATATGCTGGCAGTTTTTTGAGGGTACTTTAAAAATGTAGTAGGTAGGTATGTAAAAAAAAAAAAAGCAGTTGATTGAAGCTTAATTTAGTAACTAAGGACCCACAATCAGTTATAGCCTCCATTTTCTAAAAACTAGTGACCTGCTATCTTGATTCAGGTACTCCTTACACCTGAAAACTAAGTTCAATTGAATGTGTTGTTTAAAAATCCAATTCATAGGCTGGGGTTGTGGCTCAGTGGAGAGCACTCACTTAGCATGTGTGAAGCCTTGGGTTTAATCCTCAGCACCATGTAAAGATAAATAAAAAAGGTATTGTGTCCATCTACAACTAAAAAATATTTTTTAAAAAATCCAACTCAGGTAACTGTTGGGTTACCTGGTTTAATCTCAGAGCTGCTTCACTGATATAATAGCTTATCATGTGGCTTTTTCTCTGGCTTTTGCCAGAGTCTACTTGTTTTTGACTTCAGTAATTAATAAGCATTATCCAAAATTTCAATTCCTGTTACTCTTTGATTGGCTTTGCCTCTGATTCATCTTTTTCTGTCAGTTATGGGTCATGGATTTCAATTTTGCTATCCTTTTGTGTTGTCCTCACAGCCTAATCTTCGCTTGAGTTGTAGCTTCCATTCTCTGCATAAGCATCCTGTCACCATGACATTTCTTTGTTCTTGACACATGCAACAGCTCATCTTCATTTCCCAGGAAACTCCCAGCATCTTTTAAACTCCTTCCCAACTTTCCCTGGCTAGAGAAAGTCTATCCACAATGATCCTTTAAATAGATGAAGAAATTCTGTAGCTTATTCTATAAATCATAACAAAGTTTAAAAATAGAAATATGATTAAACATATTAAACATAATGCTTATTTTGTTTAGGAGCTAGGTGGAGGGAGTCCAGTTCTGAAAGGATAGAAATAGCTAGAAAAAGGAGACCCTTCAATCTTGTTGTATTCTAAACTGCCTAGCACAGAGGAAGATCATTAAAGTAGATGTTAGCCCAAGCAGATTCTAGTCAAAATTTCTCTGTGTTCCACTTAAATTTCTCATCAAAGATTGGGGCCAAAAGTTTCAGCAGTTCTCTCATGAGACATTTCATGATGCTCTGATTTGTTAAGTCCTGTCAGGAATACATGGGTCTCTATATAAAAATAGAGTCTCTATATCAAAATAGTGGAGTGTCTATATCAAAATAGTTTAGGGCCCCCACTCCCCAAAATTATAGCATTTGGGGAACAGAAAAGATGAAAAAAATTGTCATTTTCTCACTCAGCCTGGTCACAAAAATAGATGAAAACACTATCATTTAAACAAAATTATGTTTGGTTTAAAGTGATCTGTCACCCATTCAGCTCCCTGTCAATCACACACACATCTCCAAGTCTCTTGAGATGGTTTACTACTTCTGGCCATTCCCATTTTCTCCCCAATTCCCTTACTTCAAGTGTCTATATAACTTTACAATTTTAAGAAAATAATAACTAGATTGATTATTATGCCCATTTGATACATCTGACATGATTTTGGAACCCATTTGAGGAAAGCAGCAGGAGTCCAGAATTGTTACCTAATGATAATCTAATAAGAAGTCATTATGCCACACAGCTTAAGGAAAACTGCCACAAAAAGAGGGTGTTACAAGTTTTTATTGCTGTAAAGCTGAACGGTCTTTGAAGGGGAAAGTGCAAGGAAAAAAATGTGATCAGTGTTCATATATAATACAGAAAATATACCACTATTATTCTTTACTCATGGTTATATGCACATCTTTTATGAGTTTATGTTGTCCCCTGTGTAACTTTATCATAAATGTTAATTTAATAGGAACTCAATAATGAAACTACTTTATAAAACTACAGGTGAGAGGTAGACAAATAAATAAATAAATCCTTATTTTGGTGTCACTTACCTATTTGGCCACTGGGTGCCAGAGTAGATCTTCTAAAGCCTGATTCAGTCAGGCAGGGTGTAACTAATTCCTGCCCTGCTACATACCAGAGCACTGATAAAGCACTCACTACCCTACCTCCTTACCAATGACTCCCACTGCAATGACTTCAATGTCAATGATCTTATAATTTTTTTAAAAAGATTCCTGAAAATACCTACTTAATAAGTATGACAAGCCCCAGGTTGTGGGTTCTAACATAAAGTATAGAGAACACAATTTTCTATAAAGTTTCCTTTAAACAACTACTTTTTATACTTATGATATTCTCAACTTTTGCCTGCCTCCCCCTTCCTCTCTCCCTGCTCCATCTCTTCCTACCTTTCTTCCCCTTTGTGAGAAGGTGAGGAAAAGACATGTGAGGACATAGCAAGAAGGTAGCTATTTACAAGCCCAGAGAATCCTCACCTTGATCAAGGATTTCTGTCCTCCAGAATAATAAGAAAATACATTTCTGTTGTTTAAGCCACACAGGCTGTGGTATTTTGTTAGGGCAGCCCAATCTGATTAAGACAATCTTATTAAGTATGCAAGGGTTGTACTGGCAGGCCTGTCACACCTCTGTCCTTTCTTCTAGGCCTTAAGTGCCCACCGAGGTCAATACTCCTATAGGGATGATCTTCCCTTCTACATTGGAAAGAGGTCAAACATGGTGACTGATGGATAAGTCTATCTCATTCATCAGCTCAATCAGCAGCCCAAGTACCTTTGTCACACATCTTCATCCTCTAACTTTGCCACTATTACTATTAAAAGTGATATTTTGGCCTCTATAAGACTTGCTTTTTGTTTTCTTTCCCAATTTTGTAACAACAAGGGTGGTCAAGAAAGATGGCTGTTTGTTGAGCCCACTAGAGACCCCATGTATGCAAGGATTACAATATTAAACATGTATTTAAAATGCCATCTGGAATATAATACTTCTGAGATTCAGAAGGTCTCTGGTTTATAATTTTCATTATTATTTATCATTATATTAGAATTAAATTAAATCTCTGTTGGCCACTAAAACTAAGTAAGTTGCTTTTTAATGCCATGTGGAACATTATTTATCATTTGTTTTGGTAATAAATTTCAACTGTAGAATGTTCATTTAAAAACAAATTGAAATTGAATGAAGTTTTTAAAAACTGAATGGAAATTGGCTATAGTAAATGCATACCAAATTCAGAAGCAATTATGAACTGTCCATGCGCCTGCTTTAAAAAACTCACCCCATTATTCAATCAAAAGCTTTTATCTTCCACATTCAAAAGTAGAATATTCTTCTGAGTAATACAGTGAGTAATAGTTTTTTAAAAGTTTCCTTGTTAGAAATTTTGATGTTCTTTATTATCTTTGGGAAGCTACTCAATAAACTAAATTAATATCCATTTCAGAATGTGCCCCTACCACAAATACTTGCTTTCAAGTATTTGTGGTAGGGGCACATTTTGCTAAGGTATCTTTTTTAAAGAAAAAGGAGGAAAAGAAACAATAATTTTGGAAGTACTGGATAAAGTAAAAAGAACATTAACCTAAGAGACCTGGTCACTTAATTCCAGCGATGTATCGTGAACTAGCAGCATAATTTTAGACTGAACCCATCTAGGTCTTAATTTCCCTAACAGTTACCTAGATAAACCAATAGATCACTCCACCTATAAAATGTGAGCATTTTACCCTGCCTGGTATGTGGGAGTGGGCATGCAGATTTTTATTAACAGATTTGCTTTTCCATTGGTACTTATTCAATGGTTGGTATTTTAAAAGCTAAATATAATGGATATTTTCAAATTCCAGGCTTTGAAAGTAGTGCAGATGGGTTAGATTTAGTAGGCTTTCTCTTGTTTTCTATAAACTTTCATTTCTTTTAAGATTCTTTATAGGGCAAGACTTCATCTAACAAAATCAAATTCTCAATCTGCAGACACCTAATACAAAGATAAACATTAAGACTTACTTGCAATTTTTTAAAAAAATTCCAGAAATTCTTTACCTTCATCAACAGAATCTGAAGTGCTGCTTTTTTCCAGAGAAAGATATTCATTTTTATTCAAATCCATTGATTTTGATGACATTCTACTCAACCTCTTTTCTGAAGTTAGTAAAGGACTCTTTGGGATCTGTTTCTCACTTTCAGGCTCCTCTTTCCCTAATGCCTAAAAGGCAAATAATACAGTTAGTGAAAAACAAATTTTAAGCCTAGATTTTACAGTGAGAACTTTTATTTAAAGATTATTAAAGATGTTTTCAAATACTGCTCTTTGAAAAATATTTGTAGCATTTTGTTTATTAGAGTTGAATCTATCACATTTCCAAGGCTGCTAAATGTGGGCCCATGAAATGTCAGTAAATAATACATGCCTTCCTGAAGTCATCTTCTTACACAGTAATAAACAACAAATTTATATAAAAGAACTCACATAAAGTTAATGTCATGTGAATTAAGTAAGCAGAAGGGAAAGGGACAAAGGGCAAAAATAATGCAATAATCAGTTTTTTAGAATGAAAAAGGAGAATAACCAAACCCACTAGTTTCCCCAGCCAATGCCTGCCCCCATCATCTCAAGGAAGAGAATTCACCTACCTCTCAAAACCAGTAACTAAAGCAGAAAGGGGAAAGGAAATAGAGAGATAAAAGTCACATAAGAGTACAGTGGGGAAGACAAGATTCAAAGGGAAATTAATTTCATAGCAAACTCAAAAGCACACAATTGGCTTTACTGTTAAGAGCCTAAGCATTAAAATATATTCAATATATGATGCTATCTATACCTTTGGGGATGGTTTGATAAAGACGTGTCATTTCTACAGTAAACTGAATGTTAAGCATTAAAGCATGAATACAATTACTATGTTAATATTCAGATAGGCTAGTTTTACAAACAGGCTTAGTAGGACACTGTAAAAAAAATAAAACTCTATAAACTGTACAGCAAAGTACTTCCTTGCAATATCTATATGTACACAGATGAAAGAGAGCAAAAGCTACATACACAATTCTTTGACTTCCTGCCCCAGGAGATTCTTGAGCAACACTGAACACAAAAACAACTCTAGGGAGGATATAGGTTTCCATTGGCCACCTAGAAGCATAACAACAACTGGGAACCAGGACACAATTTACTAAAGGATTAGACTTCCCTAGTCAGAGGAAAGATTCTTTAGGCAGAGATTACTACTAAAATCAAGAGCTGATGTGTTTGGGAGTTCCACACTATAAAGCAGCATGCTTAAACAGCACCAGGGCTCTAACAGATGCTAAGTAGAGTAAGTTTCTCTAACTCCACATTTATGTTTCCCCTCTTGTTGCTAATTAAATTATATTTCTTATAAAGAATATAGATAGGGCTTGGAATATAGCTTGTGGTAGAGTTCTTGTCTAGCATGCATGAAGCCCTGAGTTTAATCCCCACCATGGTGGGGGGCGGGGATATAGATTGATACATATAAGAAAATAACAGTGACTATTTCAATGGGTGGCATTTAGTCAGTTTTTATTTCTTCATTTATTCTTCTACATTTCAAAAAGTTTTACAAAGAGTGTTAATTTTAATAACTTTTTAAAAATTTTTATTGTTGGTTGTTCAAAACATAACATAGTTCTTGACATATCATATTTCACACATTTGATTCAAGTGGGTTATGAACTCCCATTTTTACCCCATATACAGATTGCAGAATCACATCAGTTACACATCCACTGTTTTACATATTGCCATACTAGTGTCTGTTGTATTCTACTGCCTTTCCTATGAAAACATGTTTTTTAAGTTATTAAAATTCCTAGTAGAGGATAGAAATTTTAATAACTTAAAAAGCATGTTTTCATCTTGGAAAAAAATTGCTTCAGATTTTTTCTTATTTCTAACTTGTGCTGGAAGTGAAAATAAGCCAAACTAAGTGACACACAATATTTGATGACATCTGAGAATCTCCCCAAACTGCTCTTGAAAGCAAAAGGCAAAATAAGGAATAAGGACCAAATTTCTATATTACTTATATTCCATAACCTAAAAACAACTATACTAAACACATCAAGGAATGTCTGATTGATCTCATAACATTGTTACTCTTCTATACTCCATTATTTTATTGAGATCAAATGTGACCTTCTTTAGGAACAAAACTAGAGGCAAGAACCAACAGGTTAACCATTCAAGAGTTGGTATAGAAGAAATTGTAGAGAGGTTGTAGGAAGGACTCAAGCAGAGATTAGTTCTGAAAACCCAGTCCTTAAAGTCAGACTTCTGTAAAAGAATAAGGAGACTACACGAAATCCCCTATCTTGTTACCTCACCCAAGTTCAGTAGTTTCATCATCTCAGTGAGAACATGCAAAGAGATTAACATCCAGAGTCAAATTCCTTGTATCAGTAGTGAGTACTTAAGTGTCTCTTAGTGTATATATTTTTAAAGAAATCCACAACACAAAACCAGGCTGAGGTAGTTGCATGATAGATGATGATTGCCTAAGGCAAGTTCATAACTTAGGGCCTTTCACATAATAATTTCCTTTCGATGTTTTCCCAACATTTACACAGAGGAAATGCTGGAAGCTCCCTGGGGGAGGGTAGAAAAGAACCACTGCTGGCCATAGTGGGTTCATTAAAACAGTTCATGGTTTGAAGTTACTTAATGTATGCTAGGAACTGTTCTAAGTATTTTCATACCTATTAGTTAATTTAATTCTTATTTTTTTAAAAATCCTCTGAGCTATTATTTTCACTTTATAGTTGGGAAAAGAAAGGTAGAGTTTAGTAATTAAATAGGTTATCAGTCATCTCAAAAAGACAAAGGAGCTTTACATGAGAGGGATCACATTGGCAGAGGGGACAAACTGAGTAACAAAATAATAATAATGACTCCTAGTTATTGAAACTCACTGAAATTTAAAAACCAATTACACTTATAATGATCCTTGAAAAGATGAAGGAAGAAACTGACCAACTAACCATAAAGCCCAGTAGTTAACTGGACCTGCCTCTTCAGTAGGTGGCTTAAGAATCATCTATTGTTACTCCTCCATTTCTCCCTTCAAAACAAATTCTCTCCATCACACTTACTACTCTCCCTGGAGAAAATTCTGCAAACTACAAATTTCTACATCTTGTGATTTTTTAAACGCATTTATCCTCCCCAATGACAATGCCCAGAGAACTGCCTGGTAGCTCTATACTTTAACCAGCTCTAAACAAAACCACACTTTCCCCCATATAACCTCTGCTACTTACATACTTAAAACTCTTCTCATAAAATAGAAGCCTGATGTCCTAAGGTTTTAAAACATTTTGTAGATTGCATTTTTTACTTTATCTTATATTGTGATTACCACATGGCAATATCAGATATATTTTAAAGGAATAACATATACTAACTCCTTTTGATGAATTTCCATCCAATGACTCTGTTTCTGAAACTTGATGAATTGATTCACGGGTAAAACTGATAGACTTGGATAATTTTTCATCTCTTTCCCCAGAATCATCCACACCACTTCTTCTGGGACTGCTGTTAAGAAACACATCATTATAAAAATATAAAGTCACCTCCACACAAATAAGTTATTTAGACTCCTGGGATCTTTTTTATTATAAACCATTTTCATGGCAAATGGACTATTGTACTGGAGCAAATAGGCCTCTACTTATACCAAAGCTAGCTTCTTAAATCACAAGCAAATTGACTTCATTCCTAAAAACAAATCATATAGGTAATATGAAGTTTTATAAATTTTAGAAATCATTAAAAAAAATTAACAAAGTACAAGTAGCCAACAACAGCATCTCAAACGAGTTGGGGACAACCATGAAACTTTGAAAGGTTCAGGGAGGATGTGTGAATTAGACATCAATCAGCACAGAAGACAGTTTTTACATCTCCTTCCTTCTGACTCAGACCCAGCTGAAATAGCCAATCCCTTTCAGAAATGGAAGCTCCTGCTATCTGAGCCCATCAATGAATCTTTCCCGCTCATGATTCTTCTCAATACTATGAACAAGGGGTAAGAAATAGCTTTCAAATGATCACAGGGCCAAGACTACCATGAATGTGTTAGTATCTGCTTTTCCCATCTCAGGAAGCATAAAGAAAGGAAAGAAATTAAATACAAAAGGAGCATAACTGATCTAATTTCCAGTGCCCAGCCTTATCAGGCAACTACAATTCCCATATAATCATAACTATGTGCATTTAAAGCTCTTTTGCTAAAATAAAGTAGCAGTCTGATTCTCACACAATATTATCCTGAGGAAGGAAAATAAAAGCCAAAGGGTATTTCAACCCTGTTTTACTCTGCCCAAATAATACTTAAGGTCTGTTACGAATCATTCTTGGCCAGGCAGAATGGCAGGCCTCTGATGAGCCAAACAAGAAAAATGGGTTGTCGGGACTAGCCTACCAGTTGAGTGTCTATACTTAAGGATTTTAAGGATGGAGATGAGATACAGAGAAATAAAGAGAGTAGAAAGGAGGAGAAATAAGGAGAGACTGAGAATGAAGAGAGAATATGGAAGCCCTGAGGAAATAAAGGTTTGAAACAGACAATGCTTCTTTCAGAGACTAGAAGAATGAGAAAAGGAATGAACAGGAAATCAGAGTCCTGCCACATATTTTATTAGGAAAAAAGATACTAGAAGAAAGTAGCAGTGCATACATTTGGCAAGAGATCTACAACACAAAACCAGGACTGGTCACATTGAAAAGCTGATCCTAAAAGTCTGGAGCCCCCTGCCTTTTGCAAAGACTAGAAACTTTTCAAGATGGCAGGGATTTTGAAGGTCATCTAGTTTAGTGGCCTCGTTTCATAGATGAGTAAACTGAGGATCAGAAAGGTTAAAAGATTTGCATGAGGTTGCTGAGCTACTTGATGGCCCAGATTAGAATCCAGATCGTGTTTACCACATTCCGAGTCTCTTTGCATTAGATCAGTTGCTTTTCTACCCAGCTTCAGTATCTGAGAGAAACTTGTAAACTTTACAAGGAAAGTAGTATAATGGAAATTTTTAACTTTTTTTTATTGCTATGGCCCAATCTTGCCATTAGATAAAATGCACTTTTATTCGAATGGTTAATAAAAAATGTCCACTCATTGCCAGGCATGGTGGTGCATATCTACAATCCCAGCTCCTCTGGAGGCTAAGGCAGGAGGATCACAAGTTTAAAGGCGAATCTGGGGAAGTTGGTAAGACCCTGTCTCAAAATGTAGCTCAGTGCCTCTAGGTTTAATCCCCAGTACTGCAAAAGACAAAACACAATAACAACAAAAATGTTCACTCTTCTAAATGAATCCGAATCTGTCAAAAATATATTTCTCTACCCATAATTTCTTTATCACATTATTTGTTCCACCTTCATCGCTCTTATCTTGTTATTATTTGCATCCCCAAAGTATTATAAACTTCTTTTATTAATGTACTCAATATTTACTGAGTGCCAGCCACATGCCACACACAAATGCTAGGATATCCTTGAGTAAGTCATAGTATCATTGTGTTCCTCAAGACATGTGCCATTTAATTTACTTTATTTTCATCTATAAACTCAGAGATTTCACCAGGTAATTCTCCAGACCCTTAGTAAAAAGATGAATTAAAACTAAGCTGTGAGGGGCTGGTGTTGTAGCTCAGTGGAAGAGCACTTGCCTAGCATGTGTGAGGCGCTGGGTTCATTTCTCAGCACCACATAAAAATAAATAAATAAAACAAAGGCACTGAATTGTCCATCTACAACTAATATATAGATAGATATATAGATATGTATATATAKAGAGAGAGATAGATAGATAGATAGATAAGTATATATGTGTGTGTATGTGTGTGTGTGTATAAAATGAGAATTTCATATTTAAAAAAAAATAAGCTATAAAAACGGGAAAAGGGGATCATAAACTAAAATCAATTTCCATGCATATATAAGTTTGTCGGAATGAACCCAACTACTATGTATAGCTATAAAGCTCCAATAATAAAAATTAACCAAGCTTTAAGCAAATTCTAGGTGACAGCTTATAGTTTACATTTCTTCATATGTCTCGTATTTGGCAAACTATTCTCCATGCCTATCTTTTACCCCCTTCTACCTCAAAGAACAAGGCAAACTGTACCCAAGGGTGAATTAATAGAGATTCAGAATTAGTAGAATCTAAAATAAGTCCACCTTAAAGGCTAATAAACCTTGACATTTCAAAACATTTTGCTGTACCTTGGCTGCTCATTATCTTCAATCGACAGTGACAAGTTTTCCATCTCTTCAGCATTTAAACCTAGCTCAGTGCCATAGTTCTGCTGGAGAAGTTGCCAGAATTCTTGTCTGGTCAGACTCTAAAATGATGGAAACATAATGAGTATTAGATAATATAAAAGATAATATAACACAGTGATTTAAAACATGAATATTAAAGTTAAAATGACCTGTGGAACAGCTACCAAAAGCGTGGCCTTGGTAGCTTTCTGATTTTTATAAACCTTCATTTTCTCTATAAAAATGACTTAAAGCGCATCTGACAGAGTTGATATGAGTTTTGTACAAAATTGTAATTTTATATTTTGTTTATATTTTTTCAAGACAGGGTCTCACTACATTGTCTAGGCTGATCTCAAACTCTTGGGTTCAAGTGATTCTCCTGTTTCAACCCAAAAAAAAGCTGGTACTATAAGCACACATCATCACACCTGGAAAATGATGATTTTTTAAGTATGTAATAAAATAACTACTGTAGGTGGGAAGTAAAAATGTTTAAAATTTTGTCTTTATAAAATAATTTGTAGTTTCTGAATCTGAAATCCAACAACCTACCATGACCACTGTTATCACCATTCAGCATCCTAAATGCCAACTAGGAATACATCCTTTTAATCCACAATGTATCTGAATATTTTAGCTGCATTTAGAACCTAATATACCAATACACTTTAAATTATATTTTCCTAAAATTCAAAATGCAAGAGGCTGGACTTCAGAATTTCCTTTACTTTTAATAAAGTCTAGTTTGTTCTCTGTCTTTTACCTCTGCTAAAAATCATCAAATACTCCAGGCACAGTGGAGCACACCTGTAATCCTAGCAGCTCAGAAGGATGAGGCAGGAGGATTTCTAGTTCAAAGCTAGCCTCAGCAAAAAGCAAGGCACTAAGCAACTCAGTGAGACTCTGTCTCTAAATATAATACAAAATAGGGCTGGGATGTGGTTCAGTAGCTAAGTGCCCCTAAGTTAAATCCTTGGTACCCCCCAAAAAAACCCAAATCACCAAATACAGCACATTTATGCAAAAGAATGATATGATGATAAAACAGGAAGCAATATAGTTAATTACATGATTAAGCAAGATAGAGGGAGGCAGCTTAACACTTGAAGATATTGACAATCTTCATCTCTTTCATTCATTCAACAGGTATTTATTGAGTACCTACCAAATGTATACCACTCTACTAGATGCTAACGGGTATAAAAATGATGTAGAAGTTAAGTTCTTGACCCTCAAATAATTTCTATTATAACTGAAGAGCCATGGGACACCTTAAGTTAAATATGACAATATATGATTATGTACTAAAGTGCTGGTAGAATCAAGATGACATAAAAGTCTAAAAGAAAAATTACTATTATGGATTAGGGAGATATGTTATGTTTTCACACTGGTTTTCAGCTGAACTGAAAAAAAAAACATGAATGAGAGCAGGGGAGAAATGAGAAAAGTAGAGAGAGAAACCAGCATAAAAGTACAGACTAAATGCATGAACATAAGTAATATTTGTTTCATGGTCAGTAATAGTTTGTCAGCCCAATTGGAGTAAAAATTTAAAGTTGGTTTAACAGAAAGATAAATATAGATTTAAGAGGGCTAAAATATATATAGATGCCTGGAATTCTTCTGCAATATTTCCTATAACAAATATATTTCCTTTTTTTCTCTTCTCTCTCTAGTAGTTGTGGTATCTTTGTTTGATATTTATACTAGATGACCTTCATTACATTTTGTAGAACCTCAAAGAGATTAAGAACAAAATTTCTGCACTTTTTTCCCAAAATTTTTATAATTGGTGTATTATAGTTGTACATACGGGATTTGCTGTTACATATTCATACACGCACATAATACACAATATAACAATATAATTTGCCTAATATTACTCAGATTTCTGCACCCTTGACTGCTAATTCCCTGTCWGCCATGTCAGATCACTAGGATACCACAAGAACACTTGATTAAAATTCAGGTGTTATTATCAGTACTTCAACATGTTGAAAATATCCGAGTATTTACCTATAATAAAGCTACTCAGGCTAAGTAAATGGGCAACACTCTTTGCTTTGAGCTATTGTGTTAACCTAGAGTGGATACCTCATTGGAAATAATGTATGTGTAACAAATAACAATCTTCTAATATTTACTATTCAATATAACCACTTTTTGGTGGACAGAGTCTTTTAAGACATAGGATCCAGAGAAGAAAAATTAACAAAATAAAATAAAAAGGATCACTGGTGGTAGAGAAAGATGAGGAAAAACTGTCTTTGATCCTAAAGAAACCCAGCATACATTTCTAACTTCCACTCCCAAAGACTCATTTGCTTTTCATGATGACAACTTTACTACTAATTAACTCATTCTTTCAAAGACTATCTTCAAAATATTTTAGTGTCATGTAAGGATAGTTGGCTTTATAAAGAGAAGTAAACAATATTTCAATATACTTGTGTAAGATTAACCTCTCAAAGTTTTCAAAAACAAATAGATATTTCCAAAGAAAGACTAAAATAAACAAATCAACAAATAATCAAGACAGCTTCCTAACAGTGAAAGAAATGAAACTTATAAGTAAAATACTAACAACAAAAATGTAATTTTATTTGACTACATAAATACATGTTTTAAAATTTTTAACGAATAATACTAGGAAGTTAATCACAGGATAATTTCAATATGCTTTTTGACCTATTAATTGAACACACGCATGTGCGCACGCATATATATATATATATATATATATATATATATATATATATATGTTAATGGGAAACAAAACTCATTGAATTCACCATGCTGTAGATTTGGTAATTTGTTAAACATCACTTTTCTTTCTACAAAGCTGTCCAGTTGTCATAAAAGCACAGTATGTTCAGCAATTCTGAACATTCAAACATTAAAACATGTTCAGCCTGAATTAATAATTCTTTCAATAATCAGCAGTAAAATCAATCTGCTTGAGTAATCTTAAAAACAACCTAAATTTTAAACAAAATTTAGACCACCTACCTGCAAACAAAGTAGAATCTTTCCAGTTCAACCTACAGAGTAGTTTAAAGATGAACCAAGCAGTAATCAGATAAGGCTCAAAAACCAGCAGATCAATTTCTGGCCCAGAAAGCTTAGTATTCCCAGTATGCTGCAAACTCTATCTGAAGCAGAGTGCCAAATATTTAATGACAACTACACAAAATCACTGCTTCAGTTTCCTAATTTTGTTATGAGATGTTTTTCCGTGTAAAAGAAAAGTTTTAGTGTAGTTTAAAGCACATTATTTGTTGCTTCCTGGTTTGCAGTTCCAGCATTCTTTCCAAGGCTACAGGTCAGAATGCACAACTGAAGTTATACCTCACTCTACAGGTTCCTAAGCCACTCCTACTAGAAGAGGAGAAGTAAACAGGGTTTTATTAAAGGGACAGTTCCTAATTTCTTCCGTTCTATACATAGTGTAGAGACAAGATGCAAATGAAAATATCTTGCTCATGCTCAATTACTCTAAAAAAAAAAAAAACCTACTGCAATATTTTCAAATTTCATTTGAAAATTTAACTGTTAAAAGATTAAATTTTCTTCTCCATGATAGTACTTTAACTCAATTCCAGAAATATGATAATTACTTCTTCATATACCACTTCTTCAATACTGACATAGCATTCCCATCTGACTCCTCTATGACTAATATCGATTGTATCTCTTGAGTATTATAAATGGAATTTCAGGAAATAGCAGGAAGAGTCAGCTATTCAGGTGGAGCAATTCCACATCTTTCATCATTGAAAAGTTATGATAACATCTTGATTTAGTTCTTTCCTTTGAAAATATTTCTGACTTTAATCCATTCAGAATAATTTCCTGGACTATAATAAACACTACAGTCTTATCTGCCAATTCCAATTTATTCCAAAGATGAAGAGTTTTCTTCTAAATTTCATTTTTTAAAGTTAAACATCCTAATTTCTACCAATTTACTGACAGAAGGTCAAATGCTACTTGATGAACTACAACACTTGACCTTTCTGGGGCTGCTAAAATCTAATCATTTTTACAAGGGCAGAATGAGAGAGCAAAATGACATGGAGAAGACCACTCAAATGAAGAAAGCACACTATGGAGGCTAGCTTCCACATATAAAATTAAGAGCTCTTAATTTTAGCCCACGAAGCAAGTTCTCATTAGCTGAAACTATAGATGAATATATTTACTCTCCACCTATAAGAATAAAATGTATTGTAATATTTATCTACTTCTTTTGCTAACTATAAAAATCCTCATAGCAAAGCAAACCACTGGTATATAGAGCAGAGTTTTAATTTAGGAGATTTAAGAAGGAAAACAGAACCTAAAATTGAGCCCCAAGAAAGAACAACATACAAAGGATAAGTAGAGAATGAGTGGCCAACAAAAAAAGACTGAGGGAAATATCAGAGAGGGAAGAGGAAAGTCCAGAAAGAATGATATCATGCAAATGAAGGATAGAAGGTGTTTCAAAATGGAGGGAGTATACAAAGTTGTCAATGCTACTGAAAGGCAGCACATGTGGCAAATGCAAGCCTCCAGAGGAATGAAGCAGGCTGGCAGGCCAAGCAACATGACTAGCATATGAGTGCTGGGGGAAGGAAAAGAGAGACTCCTTCAGAAAGGAGGAAGGGCCAGTTCTTGAAAAACCTTATATGGCATGCTTTAAACTATGAACTTTACATTGTGAAAAATCACCTAGTAGTTTCTGTGAAAAAGTAATTGTGCTTTCAAAAGAAAACTTTAAAAACTACCATTACTTGGCAACAACCTCAAAGGCAGATTAGAATGTTGTAAAAGAGATAATTAGGAGACTATAGTGATGCTGCAAGCTAGAAATGATGAGAACCTTGGTGATTAACTAGACATGTTGACAAAGAAGAGGTAAGAAACAAGGATATTCTTGGGTTTCTGGCTCAAATGACCCAGCTAAAGTTCGTTATGGTTCACTGACCAAGGAGAGTAGGTGGAGTGCTGCCAAACAAAAGATAAAAAAGTGGGAACAATATAGAAATACAAATACTTCTGTCCTGCCAGGCTATTATGTAGCAAATGTAACTAAAATAGTTAGCAACTTCACATTTATCTTTTTCAAGGTAGGTTTGAAAGTTGCATTTATTAGATTTGTAGCACTACTAGAAAACTTCTAAAATTCTAAGTAATTCCAAAAATAATGATCACTAGACAGCAGATTAAGGTAGAACAAGGGGATTTGATCAAGTTGAGCTGTCTAGAGGAGAACGCTACATGACACTTTTCTAAAAGGTCTCAGAAGGTGACATAAAGCTCTGTAAACTAACTAATATTTGGAGAACAGCCTTATTACTGCCCATGCCCTAGACTGGGGCTCAGAGAAGCTGAGCTAAATAGGTCACACTTACAAACCACATTATAGTGATTAAGTTGGAAATATACTAAGGCATAAAAGGGTTATATGGCTTGCTAGAGATAAGAAATCTCATTCTACCATGCAGGGCACCTGAATACCTTGGAAGTCAGATTAGTAATCATAAAATTGCATGGTAAGCATGGAATCTGAGCTTTAGGGAACAACTCACTGTGACCTGTGGAGCCTAATGTCCTATCTCTGCACTCTTTCTCTGCTGACCAGAGTCTGCCTCTGTTACCCTACTTTTCTGTCCTAAGTTTTTGGCCGAATTCTGACCAAGACTCCTTCACACTCACATATTCTTTCTTTATATATTCACTAGTATATTTAGTGAATTGTTTCAAACCTTCCCTCACCCAGCACCCCAAAAGTGAAGCTGGAATGACATGTTTCAGAATTTGGAATGGGTGGATCTGTATGTATTTTAAAAAGCTCCCCATCACCTCACCTGTAATCTAACAATACATGCTATGTCCCCCTGCCCTTTAAGAATAAGCTGAAAATCATGCTTTCTTTTTAAGCCTTAAAATTTTAAATGAGTGTAGATTTCTGCTCTATTAGGCTCTAGATTTAAATACTCTCAGAAGGTATTCTTAAATTTCTGGAAAACCTAGCTTCCTTGTAACCTCCCATGTACTGGCAAGAGACGGCTATGCTCTAAGAGAAAAACTGTGCCACAAAAGTAAATTTGGAGTCTGTATGCATTCTATTATCATTAATCCTGAATCCAATAAAACAATAATATAATTGAAATATGAAAGGATTAAGAGCTTTAACCAAAGAAAAGCAAAAGTTTTAAACTTTAACCCTTACTACTAATAATAACCTTTTATATCTATACCCTATTGTTTTAAATTCAAGAGTATACAGAATAGATTTTATTTTATACTGTACTGTACATTGTTTCAAGATAATTTTTTCACCCTATGTATATAGGAGGCTAAAGAAATTAAGTTAAATGCACATTGGATTTTGGGTAAACTCTGAATTATTCTGAAACCAAATTTCTGAGTTTTCTCTCCATTCTTTGGTTTTTCATTTAACAAATCAGTACTGATTATTTTGACCTCAAATCATTAAAATTCCATAAATTGTGTCATTCAAAAAGTATTTATTGGACATATGCTACATGTAATATATAACTTATTATCTAAACTGGGAATACTTTTGAGAGTCAAGGGACACAGTTAATATTTACTTTGACAGAGGCTTAGACCCAGACAATTTCTGACTGTACTGAGTAGACTGAAACATATGCCAAATATGAGCTCTGTCACTGGACATACAGCAGTAAACAAGACAGACATTGTCCTTGTTCTCAGGTGTTTATAGTCAAACAAGGAGAAGAAAAACAGAAAAAAGATCAAGGAAAATGAATGGAACTGAAGATAGTAACATTAAGTGAAATAAGTCATACAAGTTTGCATATTTTCTCTCTTTGTGGAATCTGGTAGGTGAGGAGGATGCCATGATAGTAATAGGGAGAACTTTAGAGAGGAGGAAGAGTTTGGGGGATGGGAAGGGAAAGAAATGGGGATTGGATATAATCAAAGTATGTTATTTGCAGGTATGAATACATCACAATGAAATGCATTATTCTGTATAATTAAAATGAACTAATAAAAATAGAATAAAGAATCATAACTGTAATGTTATAAAAGAGAAGTACAAAATATAAAGAAAGATGAATAATAGAATGACATCAGATTTATTAAGGAGTTTCAAATAGGGCAAGAGGTGAGAAAAAATGGGTTACAAGTTCTAGAAAGAAAGAACATATTTGAAGATCTAATGCAAAAAAAAAGAAGGACATGAAAAAAAAGAAGATGATAATGAGATGTGGTTGCAGTTATGGACTATGTTAGACTATGTAGCCTCTATGTAAAGTTTTTAGATTTTAATTCCAGGTGCAATAGGTATTAAATAGGAAGTTGAAATAGGTCTTAGCATTTTTTTAAAAAACATAACTTTGGCTGAAGTATTGTTCAGGGTTTGACCAACTGTTTCTATAAAGAACCATATAGTAACTATTTTAGGCTTTGTGGGCCATATGGTTCCTGTTGCAAATATTGAACTCTATTGTTGTAGTGAAAACATAAAAATATGAGCATGGCTGTGTTTCAATAAAACTTTATTTTTAAACAACAAAATTTTAATTTTATATAATTGCCACTATCATGAAATGTTATTTTAATTTTTTTAACCATCTAAAAATGTACAACTCATTTCTTGTGGGAAGACCATTAAAAACAGGAGACAGGACTATTTGGTTCTGGAACAGGGACTAGTTGAAATTAAGCAAAAAAGAGCTGAGGAATGTGGTGGGAAAGATCCTAAAACTTATCTTGAACCATGGTTGAAACATTGACATGTTCAAGTCTTTGGATAATTTGTTATTTTTAATGTTGAACATGCCTCTCTATTCCAAGAGGGCACTATACTCTCATTTTCATAAGGAATTCTGTTTCTGTTCTTTAATATGACAACAAACAATGCTTAAGCATCTATTTATATTTTAAATACTAAATAAAACTGTCCTAAAAAGAAATTTTAAGCACTGTAGAATTCACCCCCCCCAAAAAAAAAAAGATCTAGAAAAACAAAGGGAAAACTACCTATTTTGTATTTTCCTAGTGAATTTTAAGAACAGTGCTAAATAACAGATAGAAAACATCAATTGTTTATATTAAAAGTATGCCCTCATTCCAATCTGGCTGCTTGCAGAACCAGCTGGG